TTATTAACTTTCATAGCCTATGTATTTTTATTACAGCTGAGAAACTTCTGTATACTAGAAGCTATTGATTTGATAGGAGATCTGCTAGCTATGCTGGAGATCTGCTAGCTGTGCTCTGATACTTCTGTGGGTTACTGTTCAAAAGTAATCTTTTTATGTGCTGAATTTGTGAAGCTCTTTTGTAACCAAAGGCTTCTAAGAGTTTCCATTCTCATTTTACTTGAACTCTTTCTGACTTGAGTTTAGGGTAGTAACTGTGTGATTTAGTTCATATACTTAAATGTCTGTGTGCCAGGATCATGGTAACTTATTTAACCCTACGACCTGTCTGTTACTGAGATTTGCTCCTGAAGTATTCAGTGCAAAATGGAATAGGCCCGTTCTAATAGAATGGGCCCAATTTGTTTTCTTCATTCACTGTGTCTTGGGCATTCATGAGAAATCGTGAAATAAGTTTTCTCCCTTAACACAATTTATTTCAGTACATGCCCTCAGAATGGTTTGCAATTATTCAAAACAACATAACACATAGTAACAATATATCCATAATAATTACAAAGATACATGGCAAATAAGCAAAAAATACAATTCAACACTTTTAATCCTATACTAAAAGAATGGTAGGATGTAAATACCTGTATATACCATTGTATTAACTGGTGCATTACTTAATGACAGCCTAAAGTTTTATTTCTGTATAATTGCAAAGAGGCACTTGGAACAGCTGCTCTATTTTTTTTTTTTTTGCCTTTCTGACAGCTAGAAGTTCTAATGGTTACTTGGAGCACTCAATTTTGAAAGAGCTTGATTTAATTTTTGCATTATCAGTTGCTTAGCAACTGATGAGGAGAAAATTAGGTGTGCTGAATTCTGAAATAGTCTCTCTTTCCTCTTCTTTCCTCCACTCCCATCAGTTGTATCCCATCGAGGTTTCCCAAGTTGTTAGTGTAAATAGCATGGTAAAATGTACTTTATTTAAAAACATCATCACTACTGAATCTTTGCATGCCTTTGCTTCAAGCCACAAGAGCAATGTGAAATGACGTGCAGTGGCTGGCAATCTACAGTCTACAAACAACCCGTAGAAGTCACCATCTGCTTTGTTACTTAACTTGTATTCTTTTCTCCTCTGTGTTGCTTGGCTGCATGATGGTTAAATGAGTGAGCCAGCCCTTGTGCTGAAAAAGCAGAGTAAAGGCAAAATTGTAGGGTAAAAATAGATGTCCACTAGACTGGAGCACAGCTGTTTTTTCTCTTCCCACCTGAAAAGCTTGCCAGAGGAGATACTTTTATTCCAAATCCTCTGAATGGAGATTGATAGCAATCCTTTGGTGAAAGGCAAAATGTACTCAGACTGCACCCATTGTGAGACATGAGGAAGAGATAGGAAAAAATAAATTGATTATAGGTGAAACCCACCATTTGATAGTAAAGTTTATTGAACAAAACAAACATCTCCTCTTTCAGCCCACTGAGTTTTCTCTTTCGGCATGTCAGGGTTTAGACAATATCCGTTTATCAGTTTCTATGTCTGTTGAATACATTGCTTATGTGCCCTTATTCCAGTGCTTGAGAGGGCAGCCATGCTACTAGCTAGATTTCACTGTGTTGGCCATAAGCTGTAACAAGAAAAGTCAGATGAAAGGGATCCTATTTAAACAATTAAAATCCAATCCATTATGGAACAGAAGTATAAACAGCAGCTTGTAAATGTACCTATCCATTCACTCATAAGGAAGAATGCTTTAAAAAAAAACTTGCATTGTGATTGCATTCAAGTCATAAGACATTTGCCATTGTTTCACAACTAGCAAGGCAAAAGTATCCACAGCTTGAGCCAAGCCACCTCATTGTTTTCATCAACCAGGAGAAATACTAATGTTCTTAGTCTTTCAATAGCTTAATTAGAAACTGCTTATTTCGTTTTATGACACAACTGAATAGAACTTATAATGGGAAATATATTTTTACTTCCCCCCCACAAGTACAGTGCTGTGAGTGAATGGATGTATTTCTATATTTTCCATCCAATGGCCAAAGCAGACATGGGTTTAAACATGGGCTTTAAATTCTGGTGTTAGCATAGGGCTCTCAGTTAGAATTGAGACCCGTATATGGGGACTAAAGGGGCTTTAACATCAACTCTCTGCTATGGGGCTTATCCTCATGCTTCCAGTTAATAGTGTGTAATGTGCCTTAACTGATCTCTTGCAGATGCAGGATTAGAACCACAGTGGTTCTAATGTAACTCACCTACACTCATGCTAGGTTCCCAGTCTGGATTGGGCAACCTACATTTTCACTAGAGTTTTTAAAAAGATGTAGTTATTTGAATCATGGAATTACAGAATAGCAGAGTTGGAAGGGGCCAGAAGACTACCAGGTCCAAACCCCAGTTCAGTGCAGGACACCAAGTTAAACCATCCCTCTCCCATGTCTGTCCAGTTACATCTACAATGACTAGTGTGGGAGAGCCCACAACTTCTCCCCAGTTTGAAAAGGTGCCATTGATGAGCACTCTTTGAATCCAGTTCTGTAGCTGACTGTAGATCCACCTTGTAGTTGTTTCCATCTAGCCCACTTTCACTTAGTTTGCTAATCAGGGTATCATGGGCTACTTTGTCAAAAGCTTTGCTAAAGTCAAGATGTCCACAGCATTCCCACAGTCCATCATGGAGGTTACACAATCAAAAACAGAAGTCAGATTAGTGAGGCAGGGTTTATTCTTGAAAAGTCCATGTTGACTTCTAGTAATCACTGCCTTGTTTTCAAGGTGTTGGAGACTGACTGCTTTATTCTGACTCCAGAATTTTCCAAGGGATTGATGTTGAACTGGCTGGATCCTTTTTTCCCTTTCTTGAAGATAGGGACAGCATTAGCCTTTCTCCAGTCATTTGGCACTTCCCCTGTCTTCCATGACTTCTCGAAGATATAGACAGTAGTTATGAGAATTGCTCCACCAGTTCCTTTATGATCCTAGGATGGAGTTTATTAGGCCCTGGAGATTTGAACTCCTTCAACCCAATTAGATGATCCTTGGCCATTTGCCTATCAATCTTGGACTGTCATCCTGCTCCTTCAGCTTGTACTTCATCAGGAAGGTCATAGATCTTCTGGGAGCACTTCTGCCTTTTTTTCTCTGTCATCTGTTCTCCTTTTGCCATCCACATTGAGTATCTCTCTCTCATTTTGAAGAAGGCTTTTTTATTGCTATCCTCAATTCATTCCTAGCTTTAGCTTTTGTGACATCATGCCTGCAATTCTGTGCTGCTTGCCTATATTCTTCCCTTTTAGCCTTGTCTTCCTTCTATTTCCTATACATGTCCCTTTTTATTTTCAGATCATCTCTAATCTTTTTGTGAAGCCATATGGGCTTCTTTTATTGTCTTCTACCCTTTTTCCTTGTTTGAATTGTCTGTAATTGTGCCTTTTGAATTTCCTTTAAAAAAAATCTCATTCATCTTGGACTCTTTTTCTCACTAGCCATGGGACTTTATAATTGGCTTTCTTGAAATCCAGGGTACATGTTTGGCTACATTTGGCTTTTGCTTTCTTTGGAATCAAGAATTCAAAGGGTTAGGATTAGGGTCTGCTATGTCTTTAATGTCTGTGTTGGCCTCAAGAGCTCTTTTAAGAATGAATTTCAGTAACCTTATTGAATAGACTTTCACAAATACTGGACTTTTAATCCTGCATATTATGGTTCTTATATAAAATGTATCTTTGAGTTTCAGTTGAAGCCCCAGTGTAGTGATCAATATGCAGTTTAAATGTATATTGGCATTTAAACTGTTAAGAGGGTAAACCTTGGGTTCTTTGGAAGGAAAAAAAGCAGAATATGAATATAATGAATGAAAGAACCAATTCTGAAAAGCTTCCATATTATTGGTGCCCTGTGTTTGTTAGCCCTGAACATAAAACACTGACCATAGAATCAATCTATCTTGATTGGTTTAACCAAGCAGCTAATGATGTTTCTTCTCTGTACCAGAATTAGAAACCATTAAGCTTGGACAGGAATGTGTGTAAGAGAGAATTTTCAGTTAAATGCCACCACTTGGTGGAGTTTCTCAGTAAAAAGAATGTCCATGAGAACTTGCAATCAATGAATCCTCCCCTGGACGTAGCAGCATCACCTTTTCACTGCTCTCTTTCACTTTGCAGTAGCTGCTCTTTCTCAGCAGGGGCTCTCAATTTTTGCCTTGTGGGTTATTTTAGTGGTGGGTTACCTGGGGTAATGGAAAAGGCTGTGACTGTGGGGGCTCCAGGAAACCTGCTGCTCAATAGCTGCAAGGTAGCAGGGGCGGGGAGAATATAATGCAGGACCAATCAGCTGATTAGCTGTGGTGGGAAACAAATCCAAGACACAAAGAGCAGCATGATTGGATAGGTACAGTGGTGCATTTCTTTGGAGCTGGAATGGAAATAGAATGCACAGGTAGGTGATTGCACAAGATGCACCTGGGCTGAGAGAGTTTGCAGCCCTGAACAGAGCAAAGCCCTCCTGCTGTCAGGAGGAAGAGATCCATCCCAAACGGAGGACAGGTGAACCTGTTGGAATTCTAGCCTGATGACTTTGTGGCCAACTGGTAAGTCCTGCCTTGGATAAGGAGGTATATGGAGAGGAATAGGGAGGTATTTTAGGGACGCTTAAAATGGTATCTGACAAAATTCAGTGCCTCCCACAACTGAGAAAAGCCTCCTAAATGCCTGGAACCAAAGTGTGGCACACTTGAATGTTGATGATCATTGGGATATATTAGGATATAGTGTGAGAATGTGATGTTGTCCTTATCATGAAAAATTGATACCTTTCTGTTCCCAAAGCCAGATGGGCAAAATTTGTCTTCATTTAAAACTTGAAACAGAAAATCACATTTGCTTTGTTTTCCAATATTTTCCTTCAAAACTTCTTCAATTTTAAAATGAGCGTACAGTATTAAGAGTAATAGCATATATAATCATGGCTAAAACAATCTCATTGTTATATCTTGTTGCAGACTGCCTTTTTAAATTATGTCCTATGAATCGCTACTCTGCACAGAAGCAGTTTTGGAAAGCTGCTAAACCAGGAGCCAACAGCACAACTGATGCAGTGTTGCTCAACAAACTACATGTGAGTATGAGCAATAAGTTTGAGCTACATTTTATGACATTTCCAGATTTCAACAGTAAGGTTTGCTTTCTTGTTGGCTATGTGGTGTGTGTTTGAGAAATCCTTGAGGTAAAAACAACAAAAATGGGCCGACCTACCTGATGGTTGTGGGGAAGTAGCATGCAAGACAAACGGAAGCCATTATGGTAACTCCACTTGCATGCAGAAAGCACATACAAAGGGATCAGAGACTGTACGTTTGCCCACGACAGCAAGAAATATGTGCATAACTCAGAAAATGGAAGCTGTTGTTACCTTGCACAGCAAAACCACAGCGGTGTAGCAGTTCAAATATTGGACTAGATCCTGGATTGTAGTCCCAACTCAGACATGAAGCTCCCTAGGTAACTTTGAGCCAGTCAGACACTCGCAGCCTAACTTACTTCGCAGGAGTGTCATGAGAATACACTGGAGATGTAACCCACCTTGGGTTCCTTGCAAGAGGAAGAGGCTGGATATAAGATGATTATGTAAAAATTCATAACTGAGACAGAAGTATTTTTTAACACGTGGATAATTTTAATGTTATTCCATTAAACATAATTCCTTTTAAAGAAAACATGAGAAATCTGAGTTTCCACTTTGCCCTAATTCTGTTCATTTCAAATGTAACCATGGAATGATACAAAGTTCAGTGAGAGCTGAAGTCTGAGAGTAAATCCCACTGAACTCAATGTGATTTACTTTGAGTAGAAATGAATAGAATCAAACATTTAACATTCAGACTGTAAGTTAATTTTTAATTTACTATAGTGCATTCAAAATCTACTTCTGGTATAGAAACACTTTATGGTTGAAATAATCTTGAATTTATAACTTAACAGCCATTCTTTCTAGCTAGAAGAAAGCAAATGCTTTCTGGACTATGCATTACGCTTTTTTATTTTCTGGGAAAGGAATGAGTCAGAGTTAATCCAAAGAACTAGCAATGTGTATAATTGTGTATTAACTCTTAATTTATGCTTGGGAAATAACTACTAATGGCTTGACCTTGTTAGAGGGCAGTTTCACATATTTTTAAAAAATCCTTCACTGAGTGTCAACAGTAACCACACCAGATAAGAAATTGTATTTTTAAAAAGTAAATTCATGGCTACCTACCATTTCTTAGAGCATGTTTTGAAAGTGAAAGAAGTTTCCAAAGTAGTTTGATACAGGCCAGTTTGTTCAAAGAAAACAAACATTTGGAAATGCAGTGGGCAAGCCTAAGCAGGTCTTTGGATCTCAGCCCATGTTTAACCATGCTGGACAAGTGACAGATCTTTGCCATGCCCAAGGTTTTTTAGCAGTAGGCCACGGGTCATCTGCCACTGAGACCTGTGTGTACAGACAGACACAGAACCACCAGAGTTGGTTGTGTGTGTGCATCTGGGAATATGGGGAGCTTTATTTGGTTGAACTGAAATGCACAGAATATTAAAAAGTATATTTAATAAAAATAATATTTTATTGCATATTAATATTTAATAAAAGGTGGTGGAATAAAATATTGATGAGAAAATAATATGGATTGGTAAGTGCTGGGAAGCATACCACTCTGCATCAAGACAAAGGCAAAAGAATTATTAAAGACTAACATGTTTAGAAAGCAACCATATGGCTGTTAGACATTGTTTGGGGCAACCATAGAATAATTTGGATTCCCAAATCCAAGGCTGGGACAGAGCTCTGAAGTCAGAGTGAGGAAGCCATGCTCTGATCACCTTCCTGTCCTTGGAGTGGTGAGGAAAGAACCATGCCAATGCCCTTGTTGAGGCTGAAAATTGAACTAAGAGAGGAGGTGAAGGGAGTGTTTGGGAAATGGAGAAGAGACCTAAGGTAACCTGATGACTTTTCAGTGTGCTTCCCTCCCTCTGAAATGCCTCACTTAGATGGCTGAAATTGTAGTCTAGCTGAAATGTCGGGGTGGAAATTGTGTGCACCGCTCCTCCCAACTTGTGCTGGATGCTGAAGCCCCTGAATTAATAGACTGATGAGCATCAGGGGTGCAATCTGTCGGACTGCACTCCCATTGTGTTATGTGATCGGGGATGCATAGACCATGAAAGCGAATGCCATAGCCAACGTGCCAGTGTTTAACAATGGCCTTTCTGGAAAAGCGAGATTCCTGAGACGTGCTGTGGTGCATTTTGGTTAGACCAGTTTCAGAAAATTCCCAGTAAAGTCCTTGTGTAACTTAAAAGCAGTTTCCTGTCTTACTACTTCTGTGTCATGTGGCTTGGAGTAATGGTTAAGGAAATGTTAAACTCCAATGTTAATCACTTGCATTTTTGGCTTGTGTGTCTACTGATGGAATTCAGGATCTTCTGTTGTAGATCAACCAATGCTAAGGGTCAGGTTATTTTAAGCTAATGCCATTTAAGGGATTTAGGAATCTGGGACGCTTGAGTTTTTGACCAGCATCAAAAATCAATGCTTTTCTTGAAAAGCTGACATCTAGCGGGCATTTCATGCAATGCTTGGTTTAATTGTTCTGCAGGGGAGAGAGGCATTACTCCAAACCTTATCATTCATTCTGTGTGTGTGTCCGTGCGCGCACATGTGTGTGTAAGCCTTTATATAATTTTCTGTAATCATTTTTAATAGCTGGACAGGGTTCAACAAGAGTTACTAAATATAAGAAATAATTGCAGTTGTCCTCATAAAGTAGGGGCAAAGGAGAAATAATAGTATTGGAGTCTATAACATCTGTATATCTTGATTATTTGGGGACATGTTGATATGTATTGCGCATATGTTTAGTTCCTACATATATTGTAATATTATAAGTTTTAGTGGACTTTCGGGTTTGTAACTGTTGCTTTAAGAGAATAGAATACTTTTGCTGCAGACCTACCTATTTAACTTGTTCTCATGCTTATAAGTACTATTTATAGAAACTGTAATTCATGAAATCTTATGTTAATGCATTACAATGTCTGAATAACTGAGGGCACTAACCAAAGGATGCCTGTAGTCCTCTAAACTCAGAGTATTATGTGCATCCTGTGCATAGCAGAAGCAATGCAAAGGCAAAGATTGCCTCTAAATCCCTCTTGTTCTACAAAGCCAACTGTCTAACTGCAGTGCTGTGCAGAGGGAAGGAAGGAGAATGAGGCACAAGTACGATAACTCATGTCTTGGTAACACTGGCTACTCTATACCTCTTAGAACATCCCATAATCTGCCTTCTCCAAGATTTGTCTAATGACCTCAGAGAAACAGCCAGCACGGTTCTTTCTTTTGACTTTAAGGGTGGATCTGCACAGCAGAGGTCAAAATGTTTCTCCATTCTTGGAGCTGAGACTCTAAAAACCTTATGTGCCTCTTACTCAGTCTAGGGGCACAGGATTGCTCTGCCCAGCAGTTAACCTGCTGCACATCATTTGCCGCCTTTTTCAGCTGGTGTCCGTTTGTGAGGAAATGATTCCTAAAATAGTTGCAAAGATTTAGGACTAATGCACAATTATGCGCAGCAGTTTTATTCATAATGTCAGGTTTTAGATACCTGTACATCCATTCAATTTAATAATGCTTGGAGGAGGGTTGAACAAAAATGTTTTGATTTATAAATAAACTAATTGTTTTGTTTTTAAATAAAGCCTTTGGATTTTTTAGCTATGGGTGCTGCCTTACCCATAATCTACAATATGGAATTTATATTAAACTCTATGTCTTTTACTGCCCCCTTTCTCTCTCTTAATTTGTCTATTTGATTTTTTCCAACTTTCCTCTTCTCTCTTTCACTCCACTTCTCTTTTCCTATATATTAACTCCCCCCCCCCCCCAATTCTATAACACCACAGGAAAGAGAGAAAAGGATACTGGCACCTCTAGTGGTTCTTTAGTTAGGTTGGAGTGAAAACATTTTTGTGATATTTGGTTTAAAATAAGCTGAAATGGAAGCAAACAGAATACAATCAATGTTAGGTTATGTTCCAGCATACAGACATTCTGTGTATCTGGTTTCTTTTGCATATCTTTTAAAAAACAATTTCCAAGTCCTTGGGGAATATATAAAAGATTTGAATAATGAGATTGCTGTGTTGAGCAGACTCCTAAAGAGTGAAGCAGAATCAAAACTGATTCTGATTCCAAGTTTGATTCCAGATCAACAAACCAAGGTACTTTTTCATGTAGCATATAATTAATTGATAGAATTTATTACAACAAAATAGAATGAAGGTTGCCAGCTTAGAAAGCTTTAAAATAGGTTAGAGAAATTCATTAAATGTTTGTTAGGAGCTATTACCCAATAGCTGTTATTCACAGACAAAACTTTCTTATGTGCAGGCACATACCTTCAGTTAGCAGATGCTTGTGTGTATATGTGCAAACAAGGGCATAGAAAAGTTTCCGAGAGCCATCTGGCTGGTTCTTGTTAAAGGCAGAACAACCCACAGATAAGACCTACAGCAAAATGTTGCAGTATATCCACACCCTGAAACAGGATTGCTTCTATCCAGAGTGCTTCTGTCCAGCTACTAATCAGCCATGTTCTTCACCAGGATACTATAAGGCATAGTTAGAGGTTTATATATACCAGTTGACTCACTGCCAGAACCCTGCTTCTCCGTTTCCTGTTTTGCTTGTCCAGGCACTATTCAGCCTTCCATGGCTCCTGAAAACAGCATCCTAGCTGGCCTATTTTGATTGTATGCCTTGGAAAATAAATACAGCATTCCAACTTCTGTGTGCCTATGGAGTGTGGGGTCTGAGCTTGTGCAAACTACAGCCGTCTTGTGGTGTTGGCTTGTTTCACTTCCAAATAGATAGGCATTTGACCAGCTGAGTTTGCTGGTGGTATATACAAGTGGAAACTAGACTGCCGCAGTGCCCCTCTACCCACTGGCAAGAAGAGCACTCTTGTTCAGGACTTCATCCAGCCTTGTTCTAGAAGGGTTGGAAGATGCATTTGTTTGGGTTTTCTTTTGTTTGTTTACTTGTGTTGCATCCTCAGTCTCATAGCTCCTATAAGCTTTCCATTCTTTGAGCAGGGTAGTCGCAATATCTATTCTTTTTTGGGGGTGTGGGAGTGGGAGGGTGGTGAGCATTTTCTGAACATTCAGTGTTCCAACTACTTTCAGCCATGAGCTGTATCAGTAAACTCAGAGCTCCCTGTTTCTTTGAATCTTTCCACCAGCTCTTGTTCTTTTATTTATTATTATTTATTAGGGGAACTTCTATGCCGCCGCATTCGCCGAAGCCTCGGGGCGGCTCACAACCTTTTCTCTGCTGCTGCCCAACAATAACCTGATTTTGTGATCACAGCAAGCCATCACTGTTTATTGAAATCAGGTGCAATTTGCATAATCCTGACCTGGGTGTGGTTTGTTTTGTTGTCTGAACCTAGGTGGGTTAGCTTCTTGGACAGGGAAACAATATTTCAATAGCCCTACGGCAGACCATGAAAGGCTGTTTCCTCCACCTACAAGACTGGGTTTGGACATACACATGGTGATTATGGAAATCAGACCCTGTACTTGCCTATTATTTTCTAGGATTTAAATAAGCCATGCTAGTTTATTTTTACAGTGTGAACTAGATCCCTGTATCCTTCTTGAAAGTGTTAACACTTAAAGATACCCCAAAATAATTTTAAATAAATTGGTACTTATATTCCCTTGCCATTGGTCTTCTGTAAACACTCCGATTCTTTTCAGATTTTTTTTTGTTTTTTTAAAACATTGTTTCAATTTTTAAGTTTCTATACATCTGCTTAATTCCAGAGATTCCTACATATTTAAGAATCATTACCCATTTGTAGCTTTCCTGCAAAATAGAAATAAAATGTTGGGGGTGGTATTTTTTTTTAATAACATTTATATTGGAACACTGTGGACCAAACTATACATGACACTGTAATGTCAGTGTCTGTAGATACAGACCTTCCTGATTCTACTATAGTTCATTTATGGTATTTTGTCTGGTATTCTATTGCTTTTGAAGTTAATAGCTGCTTTACCCACTCTCCCATCCTTACCCTGATATTCTTGCTTTTTTGAAGGAAAGCATTTTTTCACACATTTTCTTTCTTGTTGCTTATCAGCACATGCTTTTTTCTTTTTCTTTTTTTAACATTAGCATGCTGCAGATTTGGAGAAGAAGCAAAATGAGACAGAAAATAAGAAGCTGCTTGGTACGGTTATCCAATATGGCAATGTTATCCAGGTATGTGGTGTCTGTGTTCAAGATGTTGCAAGGTTCTAAGCATCCCAAAGCTAGAGCTGTTGAGTGATCTGGACTAGTTTCTTTGGATTCATTTTCACCTTTTTTAATTAGAAAATTGATATCTAATAAGAGAAATTAAAGGTACATGCACAGCTTGTTCAGTTAACTTAAAAAGGTCATGCTTTTGTGATATGAGCAACCTTAAGAGGCTCAAAGGTTATGCAAGGCACACAAATCTCTCCCTTTCCTTCCTCTGAATGCTCACCTATAGGGCTAGGATAGAGGAGGGAGGCCACCAGAGGTGTGTGCTTCCAAGAATCTGCCAAAGTGTCATTTTCTGCTAAGAGATGAGACTGGGAATAGCAGTTCTAGACTTGCCAGTGGGAGAGTGATGCTATTTTGTTCATATATTCCAGGGAGAAGTTATGCAAATAGTCTCTGTTATCTGACTGTAATTCCATGGTTTAGGAAAGAGGGTAATGTCCACCAAAACTTGTCTCTTTCCCCTGCCTCAAGGCACATGACTAGGTTTTGGCATGCATAAGTTTCAGGCTTTTTGTGACTCAACTGTTTGAATGCTTGAAGCATCCTTTCTGGCAAGTGGGAGAAATCAGTTCTGTGCACACACTTGCAAGGGTATTGAACCTGTTTTTACAGTACCTAAAGATCAGGCTATTTCCGCATGTTCACTCTTCAGGAGAATGAATGTCAGACATGCACTTTGTAGAATCCGTTACGTTGTAGGTTTAGCGGTTGCTGTTACGGACATAGCAAAGCTGACTGATACTCAGTAGATCATGTAACAATTTGGGCAATTTCTGTATGTCAGCATGGTGCTTTATCCAAAATGTGTTTCACAGTAAGCAGGCTGTGAGTATACTCATGAGGCTAATGTGCTACATTAGCTAGAATGGTGACTTTGAATGTGGGAACCCAAACTTAAGATCCCTGAAATATATAGGAAGTCAGACACCGCCTTTCAGTATAACATTCTTTCTAGGGGTGTGGCAAGGAAAAGTGCAATTGTAGCTATTAAAGGTTTGCACACTTACAATTCTGGCTATTTAATATTCTTGAAAGCAGCCAACGCCAACCTATTGCTCTTTTCCAGAAGTGCTCAACCACAATCCCTATCATCCTCCACCAGCTCAGTCAGTGGAGTTGTTGTCCAACATATCTGAGGGCACCAGATTGGGAAAGGCTACTTTGCAGCATCTTTCATGGAAGCTTTAAGTATATTGGTCTTCTACATACTTTGGCCTATTGTGAGCAAAGTTCCAGCAAGAATCATAGATAGTTACAAGCTCAACTTGTAACTTAACTCCACAAATAAAGAGTATCATGGGATACTAGTAAGTTGGCTTGATAATGTAAATGATCTCACGTTTCTCTGTGTGAAGAGTGCTGGAATTTCAACAGCATTAGGCACAGTCCTATGTTCATGTTGGCTGGAACATGCTGGGATTCTTTTTTTTCTGATACACATAGGAAAATATTTAGAAATGAAATGATCTTTAGAAATGAAATGATACTGGTTTTTGTTCATAGAAAAAATGTTTTAAAATCTTGCCTATGGTGACCTTCTTTTTTATTTGCTTTTAGCTTTTGCATTTAAAAAGCAACAAATACTTAACAGTAAATAAAAGACTTCCAGCTCTGCTAGAGAAGAATGCAATGAGGGTGACACTGGATGAAGCTGGCAATGAGGGCTCCTGGTTCTACATACAACCATTCTACAAACTGCGTTCCATAGGAGATAGTGTAAGTTTACAGGAGTGTCAGACAAAATGGTGTGTGTGATGCAGGCTTGCAAAGGTTTTCATCAGTAGCATACTTTCTGTAATTAATTAAGTGCACAGCAGTTGATACAGAGTACCAGTGTCTTTTTTGCTTGGACTACGGAGAGTGGGAGGTGAATCACTATGGAAACAGATGTTTTGGAAACAAGGAACATTTTTAAAGACTGGAACAGTAGCTGCTTTAATCTTCACTGATTTGAAATGGTTCTAAAAATACCAAGTCATTTTGTTAACTTAACAGTACATTAATATATTAAAGATATCTAGGTTTATAGTACTGTACTAACAAGAACTTTATCATGATCATGGGGTTATTAGGAATTTAATGGAAAGTTAAACTGATTTATGTTGAGCAGCATGCATGAAATTTTCAGATACAATAAATAACAACTTCAATATGCCTTGAGACTCTCTGAGGCCACTTACCATGATCAAGCAACCAACTCTGGCTTAAATAAGTCACAGTGGGTTGTTTAAATTTTTAGTGCAAGCTGATGCATGCCAGGTGTAAATGGTCCAATCACCTTCCTTTGTGCACCTTGCATCATTTGAACCAGGTGGCATAGGATGTTTGAGGGGGAAGCGACTCTCTAATAACCCAGCAACAGGTGATGGGTGACTTGTTTCTCCTTCCAACAAACAGTATAGCCCAGGTTCATGGAGCCCAGCAAGCTGCATAGCCCAAGCAGATAATTAGTCTAATGGCAGGCAATGACTGTTGAAAGTTTTGTGAGTGGGTAATCCATGGTTATTTGAACATTGTTTCCCCTCTAACAGGCCATGTCATTGGATTCAGATGACATGACAAGCTATACCCATATGAGTAATGAGTAATTAGGCTAACGGCCCCTAGCATGTGCTGGTATGCACCATGATTTAAATAAGCCATGGTAGCATATGTTTATTGTGTGAAGTAGCTCAGCTCCCTCCCCTGCCTTACTCACTTGCTCTCATCCCCCCAACACACACTCACACATGCTACTATGACTTATTTAAAGGTGGTTTTAAAGGTCCTTGAAGAATAATTATAAAGTGATACATTAATAAGAACTCCACTTCATCAGCCATCCATCTTCTGTAATCTCACAGATTCTCATCAGACAGTATTTGTTTTGTTTTCAAAATGTTATTTTAATTCTAAAAATTCTACACCTCTGTGTAACTAAGATTTGTTCAATTATGTGACCTGTTGCACAATGTTTCCCGTGCCTAAAAGAGTAGTTAGACTAATGGAAATCAGCATGTCCTGGCAATTTAACCAAACTGTGGTTACTTGTTTTGATCCTGTTAATCAGGTATTTCACGTCATTCTTTTTGCTGCAGTGGACAGATGTGCCTGCCCTCCACCACTGCCTCTCACCCACTCATGGAGGCGACAGTGGTGAGTGGAGAGTCTTGGAGGTCAGCAGGGATGAGTCCTTCTGAGTCCATGGGCCCATGGTGGCTTTCTGACACTGGGAATGCAGCAGTGAAAGGAGGAGCAAGTTCAGGGAGTTCCTATTAATAAGGCCCTGCTTGGGTGTGAGCTTCTGGCAGTTGCTGGCCCATGCTTATTCTTTATTCTTTATCAGTGATCACTCTGTGGAATAGGTTTTGCACCCCTGTGCATGCCTCAGCTCTGTGCAACAGCTCACCTACCTGCCAAATATGCAGCTCAGATCTTCACAGATGCTCAATTCTTTTCAGGGAGTATAAAGGCTAATTGAAGCCTTTAAATACCATCTGAATTCAAGAAGCTTCAGGCTTGATTGGGAACCTCCATGTGCATAAGTTCAAACCCAATAAGTGTTCTTGCAAAATGATGTTTTGAGACCATAAACCAGGCTCATGATCAATGAGACATCTACTGAGGCAAATAGCATGGTTTGGACAATTTAACAGTTTTAGACATTTTGTGGTTTATAAAGTAACTTTCATTCTGTTATGTGTGATCTGAAAAACTATTTTAGGTGCAATCCAGTGCCCTCCTTGCAGATACATGCAACCCTCTAAAGTGGAGGCATGAAGTAAGGTGCAGCAGCGGTCTTCTATGCTGCCATGGCCCCTCACACCAAGTATTTCATCTGGATGGCTATTTTTTGCCACCTGAATGAAGCACTGGGGAAGTGGAGGGAAGCATGCCAGGATGACAACAGGGTATGTCTGTCCCTGGCTCCTCCCCTCCCTGCTCCCTGGCATAGCCAATGGGAAGCAAGATTGAGCTCTTCGTCTCAAAAGTAAAATGGATTGAAAAATCTAACTTTGGTGACTTTCATAGCACCCTCAAAGTATAAATGCTGGTGAAGGGAGCCCTAAAAACAAGGCCTCCTGCACAATTCCGTGTCTTGTTAAATAGTGCATCTGAAATTTTACTTTTTCAGGTGGTCATAGGGGACAAAGTGGTTTTGAATCCTGTTAACGCCGGGCAGCCCCTGCATGCTAGTAGTCATCAGCTAGTGGACAATCCTGGTTGCAATGAGGTAAGTTAGAACACCCAACCCAGTGAAGAGCTATTGGCTTAAACATCCAGTTTTATATATGAGCTGAAGGGGATTCTTGGAAGCCACAGCTAAAGAGTATGAATAATATTTAAACAATTTATCTGTAGGAGAGTGCCTACTGCCAACAGCCAGCTCCTTATTCAGTGTTTCCAGTGGCACTCACTCTTAGGTAGGTGGGTACAGGTTTGCAGCCTTACTCTCATGTGAGTGTGTTCAGAATTACAGCCTCAACAAGGTTGTTGATCCGGGCCTTGTGGTCTAATTCCATACTTCTCACTTCAGGTACAAAGCTCCTACACCGTGATGGTGTAGATTAATGCTCCTACTCTCTTAAGCAGGAATAAGCAATCTGGTGCCTTCAAAGTATTTTGGACTAGAATTTCCATCAACCATAGTCAGCAAGGCTGGTGATCAAGGATTATGACATGTTTAGTCCAAAGCATCTAGGGGGCACCAGATTGCCTATGTCAGTTCTTAAATGTTGCTATGCCACGGAATTGAGCCGAGCAATTTCTTGCTGTCTAGCTAGAAATTAGGTTTTCCTGCCAGCCTTAATCATAGTTATCAAATCCTTGTTCAGAGAGTATCTTGATTCACATTAACTTAAATTAACATTATTGTTGACTTTGTTAATATTGTCCACATGTTTAATGTGCATTGTCTCCACCCTATTATTATTATTATTCCTATTGTGTCCTGTACTCAAAGCTCTCTGGGCAGTTCACAACAATTTCTCAAATATGCAAAAAGACCTATAATAAAAATATAGGTGCAAATACAATAAGGTGCAATATAAAATCTCAGTATGTAAATTTATATCAGTTTATATCTAATATGCAAACATGTAAAACAGTTTAAACATCTAATTTTTTAAAATAAAACTAAACCTAACTTAAACAACTTACCTAACCTATCATATCCCATTAATTGCCTGGGACTAGAGGGCAAAAGAAGAAGGGGACGGCAGAGAATGAGGTGGCTAGATGGGGTCACTGAAGCAGTTGGTGTGAGCTTGAATGGACTCCAAGGGATGGTGGAGGACAGGAAGGCCTGGAGGAGTGTTGTCCATGGGTTCACGATGGGTTGGACATGACTTCACGACTAACAACAACAAGAGGGTATTTGAAAGCTTATTAATTTATTTTTAATTATCTGTAAATTTTCTATGTTGCCCAATAGTGGAAGCACTGTTTGCAATAATTCAGAGGCATGTGAAGACGGGCCATTGCTTTGACTGCATGTTCCTAGTATAATAGATTGTGCACATTTCTTTTGCTGTAGGTGAACTCGGTGAACTGCAATACAAGCTGGAAAATAGTCCTCTTTATGAAATGGAGTGATAATAAGGATGATATCCTAAAAGGGGTAAATTGGACAGTGCATGTCATTAATAAGTTTCAATTTTTTTCCACAGGAATGTTGCATCTCCTACTGATTGGTCCTCTCATTACCTTTGCAGGGTGATGTAGTACGGTTGTTCCATGCAGAGCAGGAAAAGTTTCTGACTTGTGATGAGCACAGAAAAAAGCAGCATGTCTTTCTGAGAACCACTGGCAGACAGTCGGCTACCTCTGCAACTAGCTCAAAAGCTCTGTGGGAAGTTGAGGTACAGTTTGCAAAGAGATTGTTCAAATGGGTTTGTAGTAGGTGTTGGCTTTATTTAAACCTTGACAAAAAGGCCCGTCTGCCCAGAAGAGCTTTTTTCTGCCGTCCTGTATGAATAGATTTTTTTTCCTACCCAGAAACACCAACTAGATTTATAAGCAGGCATCAATATATTCTCAAGTACATGTTATTTATAAAAATAGGCTAGATTTGAACCAATTTTTAATCTAATCACTACTATTATGATTTTAAAAGAAACAACTGTTTCTGCTGTTTATTTTAGTGTATCTATCTAACATGGAACACATACATGGGTAAATTTTACTCTGATGTGGATATGTTTGCACCCAAATGGACAAATGAGGCCCTTTGGTTTGCATTTGTTTGTTTCACTTTTCTGACATGCTTTGTTAAAGAGTGGAGTGTTCATGACATGATTCGCTGCTGGGAAATGCTGGTGAATATTCAAGGAATGGATGTGCTTTCTGTTAAGCGTTTCCCCCCTTACATTTAATGTAACAATGACAACAGAAAACAATGTTTTTGCTTTTGTGAAATAGCATTGGTTGCAGAAATTTATCTTGATTGCTTTTAGAAATAGATTGGGTGCCTTCACATGCTTATCCACCTTGGTAATAAGCCATAGTGGATTGATTGTTATGTGAACACTCTCCAGTATGTCCAACAGACAATTACGAGGTGGACTTATAGGTGGGCTGTGGGTTGTTGCCCCACCCCATCCTACATTTTTCAGGAAACACAGTAGGAGGAACAAGTTGTCTCCACACTCCCCACTGTGCTCATGAGCTGTTTAGGGTTCAACCACAACTTTTCAACCCCTTTAAATTTCTTTTTTGTTCTGATTATAGAATTATCTTTCTAGAGGCTTCCCATGGTTGCCCAACATTTTAAAATAAAAATGATCACTCTTAATGTTTTGCATATATTTGTGAGCATTATTTTGTTGCTTTTTTACCTGCATTTGTGCAACTGCAGACAGATGTAACCAAAAGGGGGGGGGGGAACCACATACCCGCTGCCTTTGTGAGCAGTGCCCTGCATGGGTAGCTGCCAGAATTGGGTGGGTGATGTGCAGGCTCTCTGCTGTACATTGGCCATGTGAGGCTCCACATATGTGCACTGTCAACAGCAGTTGTTGCACAAACGTGGACAAAAAATTAAACTAGCAAATATTTACAAAAAGTAGGGTGGAAAATTTTAAAAATGCTTTGCAATATGGGTAGCTCATCCAAGGTGCAGCTGGGAATTGTAAAAGCCTGCTTGATGGCTGGTTTTTGTCATCTCAGGGAGAAATAACAATTCTCTGGTTTGCAGTCATGACAAGGAAAAGGGCAGAAAGCCAGTGCTACTTGAGCACTTCTGGGGTGGCAGGCAATGGCTGGTACTTTTGGTTACATTTGACAGCAAGGGTGTTTTGCAGTGGCAAGGTAGCTAATTCCCCATATCTACAATACATGAATTGCATTGCTGGTCAACTGCTCTCTCTGAGTGTGGCTATGAAGTTTCTTTTCTGCAAGTTCTGCTGCTTATTAAGTTTGCATCCCACACAGGGAAATTCACCATGACAAACATGTTTTATGTATCCATAACTTTTGGATGAAAATTTGGGAACTATGTTATCACTTTTTCTTCTGTCATCACTGTTTAAAGAGCATCCTTGTAGATAAGTGCTTTCTCTTTCTCCTATGTCTTACTTCTAGTCACTGTGTTGAAAACTCGTAACATCTCTTATTATGACTTTAAAGGTAGTGCAACATGACCCTTGTCGGGGTGGAGCAGGATATTGGAATAGCCTTTTTCGATTCAAGCATCTTGCTACTGGACACTATTTGGCAGCAGAGGTATGTATCACAAAAGGGGCTCCTGTGCACCATTTCCCTGTAGGCTTCCTACCTTATGCTTATTCAGCATGAACACTGGACAACAAAAATAAGAGTTGCAAATCACTGGAAAGATTTTGTGTTAGTTCAGACCATCATATATTATTAGCACTGGTGTTATTATGATAGGAGCTTGCAACAAACACTAAATTCTACAGATATTGCTGGGCTGCTGTAGGGTTTTGCACATGCACTCTTGCTGAAGTATTTTAAGGAATAAATACCCTGAAAATGGTTCTAAATCATTGTGATAACTTGAACAGGTTTTCATTCATTCTCTTTCTCACGCATACACACAAGACCATATCCCAAATGTATTTCCTAACATTAACTAACTTTTTAAAACAGCTGATCTAACATACTTTGTTGAATTTTTTGTTTCCCTCCCCAGCTTCATAGGTACATTAGTGCTTTTTGTTTTTTGGGTTTTTTTGGTGAGTAGACAGCATACTTTAGCTGTGATAGCACTTTATGCATTTCCATGTAGCATTTACTCTGCAGAATAAAATTTGCTGTGTACTGTGTTAAAGACTTGGGATGGAAAGGCTAGTGGTTGTTTTGACTTGCTTGTGATTCTCTTCCATCAGGTAAATCCTGACTATGTGGAAGATTACCAGGAATGCCAGTCTTCAGTAAGTACAGGCAAGAGTACCCTCCTGCCTCGAATCAAGGGCTGTTGACCAGTGTTCAGATTACGGGGGAAGATGTAGGGAGAATCTGATTGAAATCCACAAGTTCCATCCACCCCCATGCTGAACTGTAGCCATATTATGCCCTGTATGTTTCTAAAGAGAGTCTGTAAGAGGCCAGCACAAACAGTAAGGGCAGCATACTTGCTTTGGCCCTCCCCCCTGTAATTTGTACACTGGTATAAACACAGACCCTGATATGATCTTGATTGGCAAGCATGTGGACAAATCAAAACTTAGCCATCTTAATGAAAGCCACCTTAATTGATGAAAGATTTAATGTTATGCTTTCTAATACTACATTTGCCTATATAGATAACCAGGTAGTGGTCATATGCATTTATCTAGGTAAATGCATTTGCTTTCCTTCTGCCCATTGTAAATCACATTTTGCTTGTTTGCATGCTACAAATCCATCTAGTTCCACCCTCCATATACACAAGGACACGCACATGTAGAAACTGGAGGAACTTTTTCCTCTTGTATAAGAAACATATATTGTGTCGAACATTTCTCAGGAAATTGAGCAGGCATTCTTTTGCAACTGCAGTTAACATTGGATTCCGTCATCATTCATTGCCTCTTTTGGTTTGTCATCCAGGATTCAGGCTAGGACTTTGCTTTCTGGACAATAGTAGTGCTTCCAGGACTCTTCACACTAGGGTGAGGCTGTATCTTGGAATGAGGCAGCATCATTTGAATGATGGGACCGCTTGTAAGAGGTGTGGAATGATGCATCGAATCTTCCAGTTTCTGATCATGTATGCCTAAGGTTCCAACAAAATGGTTTAATATACTGAACGTGCAAACAGAGTTGCCCTGTGTGCTTAAATCATTCCCTGCAACACATTCTAGCTTGTAGCTTCACTCTCTCTTCCCATAGATCGAATACTTCAGGGTACATACAGAGGCTGATTGTGTGCCAGACTGTAGGAAGAGGAAACTATGGTCATGTGCCTCTTTCAAGAAGTGAGGTCAGAATGTGAGGATCAGAATATCAGCTGCTGCTGCTAACATCTGGTGCACACAATTCGAAAGGAGCTAGCATAGCCTAGACATATAGTAAAGGTGGAACTACAAATCTTTGCTCCTCTGCCAACAGAGGGAGAGTTTTCTTCAGGTGTAAACATCTGTAAATGAGGTACAGCATTTAACGTTTGTAGACTTTAGGCTGATAGGACACACGTGTGCACACACACTGACTTATCAGTGCTTCCAAACTGGGTATTTGGGTTATACTGACTATCAGTTTAAATATGCTAGCTTCATATACCATTGCTTGAAGTTGGCTTGTTTAGTAGCTGGTCATAGTGTGTGATAAATTGAAAGATACAGTTTATACATCTATTTATTGATTTATTAAACTTGTATTCCGCACTGCTAGTTCCACAGGACTCTCGGTTCAGACAAAAAGACAATCAGAGTCCAATAGGAAACAGAGGAAAAGACTGTGGTGACTTTCTCGTGGCTGTGTGAGAGGAGAGGAATCAGCAGCAGGAAGAGCTTGAGATGAGGCTCTCTCAGGCTTATTCTTGTGTATGTCAGGCTAATCTGCGGTTTTGTGTGACATGGGGAATGTAGCCAGTATCAAATCCAAACTGTGTTTAACCATGTAAATGACATGGAATGTATATAAAATAGCACAGTTTACATGTTTTGATGTGTTTGTGGAGTAAAAAAAAGTCAACATTCTCTTGTTTTTTACCGGAATAACAATTATTGATAGAACCAGTGTTTGACATCATGGAATTGAAAGAGACTACACAGCCTGAGCAAGCTTTAGGACTAGGGAATGTGTGTATGTGGGACAGTGGGAAGAAATTGTCTATTTTTTTGTTCCCTTCATTCAGAAACATTTTCTTCCCTGTTCTATTATGCTCAAAGGTTTTATTGTGCCCTCAGCTCTAAGCCTTTTGTTTTTAGCAGTTTGGGTTGAAGAAGGTTTAAGCTCCTCCAACTAGTCCTATTGCAGGAAGATATGGATTGTTATGGGGAGTGGGAGAATTTATAAAAATGTGCTCTCCTTAATTTTGCCGCTTTCCAAACCTCCCCCCCCCCCACACACACACTTCATGGCTCTGTTATGGGATAGTGGTGGCATCTACTGTACCAGACAGACTAACTGGATTCATCAGAAGGGTAAATTTAAGCTGTCTTCATCTAAATCTAGAATGATGCCAGCTTCCATGGTAGCTGGTATCTACAAGAAGCCTTCCTTCAACTTGCCCACTTTCTCTATTCAAGGTGAGCTGATCTGTGAAGCAGAGAATTACTGAAGCTTGGAGTACTGATTAAAGCAAGCCTTCCTTTAGGATGTATTACCAGGATTTGCTTTAAATTAAGTCAGTACAATAGTTTATCTAACCAAAGAATATTAAATCTGGTTTGCAGCATCTCACTACTGTAGCTTGAGCAGAAGACTTCTCTACCCTTTCTATTGTGAAGGGTCTTATGTAGTCTGAACTGAGTCTTCTTCTGACCCTGGCCCTAAAATCAAGAGTAGCAGCTGCTTTGAGGGGCCAGAACCCCCCCCCCCACCAAACAGTATGAGTAGTACATTGGGCACTGTGGGGCAAGTAAAAATCAGTGAAATTAGTTTCTCCCTTCTTTCCCTAGTAGGGCATCCCATGAGTGGGAATCTGGATCACTTTTGGGAAATTGGAACTGCACCATGCTAAGGGGTGTTGAATGCTGCAAGCTCAGGGATGGTGTGAGTTGAGTTGCTCATCACAAATTGTGTCACAGGAAAGATTCAGTAGGTACTTACGACAATTACACAAGTACAACCCACACAGCCATTTTCTTGATTGAAAGGGATATATTACCATCATGCTTTCCAGAACCATCTTGGTCTGTTTCAGAAAAAAAAATGTGAAGATTTTTATGCCACTTAAATATTAACCCAATTATTCTGATACAAGCTTTTGTGGAAGTGGGTTCTAATTCACAGAAGTTTATGCAGAACGAATTTGTTAGTTTTCAAGATGCCACAAGACACTTCATCATTTCACTCTGGTCAGATAGAAAAATATTTGTTCCAGCAGTCCTGAGGAGAATTTGCATAGAGGGTTGTACAACAGATCAATAGGGGAATGTGCAATGGTTCTGTATTTCTCTCTCTCCCAGCTTTTCACCACAAGATGGCGAAATAAGACCATAAGCAGGCTAGATGTGATTTTTTTTTTCTTTTTGTTTTTGGGCATATACCGATATAAAAACCGTTCAAACAAAAGATGATGTGTATGTCTTTGGTTATATAAGCATGCTGTAAAATAGGACATCAAAGGCTCAGCCAATCCCTTGCTTGATTTTTTTTTTTTTTTGGCAGCATAAATTATTAACAATTTTTCCCAAGAATCACTTCAAAGGTTCAAGTTTCTTTGAACTGTAAATCTGCTATCATACTCTTTGCAATAACTAGCCAAAATATGTACAGGAGATCAATACTACCTTTTATCTTGCATTTTACCACTCTATGCACAAACTGTAAGGAAGCTGTGTGCCGAATCTTTTTATTACCATATATTTTACTTTAGTTTTCCCTGTTTGATTCAGAGTTAAAGGGTTTCCTCTGTGTGTGTTTGCATGCTTGCCAGTGCACACCTGTGGTTATTATGTTTGCTACATTGTTTGTATAGTTTGTAGTCATCTACATTTTTACAGACAAATCTATCTATGAAAGCATTTATTTATATTTATTAATAGCTTTTCTAGACCATCCATCTATTGGTGTATTGGGATGGTTTACAACATGGGAACTGAAGTTTTCCTCTAAGATACTGTGGGGAAGCCTCATTTTAAACCATATGTTTCATGTCTGTCTATGTCGGGTCCTCAAACTTTTTCAATAGGGGGCCAGTTAAAAGGCGTCATTGGGTGCATGCGAGGTGCGTTGAGCGCACACAGCGGCTCGCTCACTCGGAGATCTCCCAGGGAGTCCAAAACCATCTCCAAGTGAGCAAGCCAACGACACCAGCCTGCACTGCAAGGCAGCGGCAAATGCAGGTGCGCGGGGGAGGCAGGCAGCGGCTCGCTCGCTCAGAGGTGGTTTTGGACTCACTGGGAGATCTCCCAGTGAGTCCAAAACCATCTCCAAGTGAGCAAGCCACCACCTCTCCCCTGCGCGGTGAGCATGCATTTGGGCAGGGGGTGGTGGCGCGGGCTGGATAAATGGGCATGGCGGGCCGGATTCATCCCTTGGGCCGTAGTTTGAGGACCCATGGTCCATGTGGAGGGTATTCTAGAAGTGAAAAACCTCTGTCCTCAGTACTCAGCATTGCTTTCCTGCAAGCCAGGTTTCTGACAATTACACCATCAGATTAGAAAAAAAGAAGATGGAGAAAAAACATTTTACTTTTCTTTCCTCTCTCTGCCCCTTCAAGGATAGCCATTTTCTAATTAATATGAATTAAGGTGCAATTGTAGGCATTTTTCTTATATTTTTATAAGAAAAAATAGTTCCTGGAGTGTCCTAGCCAGCTGGCTAGGGCATGCTGCTACTTGTGAGCTTAAACATGCAGATGATTGTGACCTTAACTGCGTTTGCTCTAAAATCTGCATCCATAATAATAATCTAATAAATACTTTTATTTAAACATTATTCATTTCTGCTTTCATTATTCAGAAGCTATGTCCTTTTTGGTTTGGCTTGTATGCAGATGTGTTGAGACTTACTTGGACTTACAATAAACAGCTGCCATGTTGATAAATCTAAATAGAATTGAATAGAATTGTCAGGAAAGGCTCCTTTTTATGGCTCTGAGCAATTCTGGAAAAATCTAGATTGTGTCTCAATGGCACAGATACAATCTAACTTTGATGGTTTAAATGCCTTTGTAGGTCTTCTACCAAGAGCTTGTTAATCTTAGTTGTATTTTGGCATTTCATGGCTTGGGATTTCTAGTTAAACATTTGGGTTGGTTCAACAACAGCCATGGATTCCACAGTTAGGTTTATATAGAATACCTTGCTTTTGAGACTGGGCAGGCAACTTTGCACTAAAATTTGGTTTGCATTTTTTCCTGCAGCTAGATCCAGACCAGGATGCAGCCAGAAGGGGATCACATAATGCACCAGAAAAGATGGCATACTCTTTAGTCTCTGTGCCTGAAGGAAATGACATTTCTTCCATCTTTGAGCTTGATCCCACTACTTTGCGAGGGGGAGACAGCCTTGTTCCAAGGTATGATGCTACACATGATGGAGGGCATCCTTTACAAGCTAGCCTATTTGCTAGGCAGTCTTACATAGCTGGGACAGACCTTCACAGAGGACAGCATTTTTGCAGGAACAAATTGAAGAGACTTCTTTCTAGTGCCCAGTTCATGTGTTTGTTCTTAAAGAACCATGCAGGGAGCAGGCAAATAAAGGGCTGGGGCCTGACCCTTCTTCCTGTTTCAGTGTCAGCCAATAAGAAAGGCATTCTGTGATTGTAGCAGGAGCGGAACTAACAAGTCCTGATGGTTCCCTCTGTTACCGGAGGCAGTGGGGTTATGTGCAACAGTTGCTGGAGAATACAGGCAGGAAGGTCCTGTTGCACTCAGGCACTGCTTGGGGATTTCCTTTGTGCAGGTGGCAGGCCCTTGTGTGAACAGAATGACTAGGTGGACCCTGAGTCTCATCCAGCAGGCTTTTCTCACGACTAGAAGCACAACACATTACGCTTGCTTTTCAACCTAAATTGCATGTGCTGCACAAGTCAGTGGCAGCTCAGGAACCCAAGAGTAGGCCATGTTTGTTCCTCATTCCCTGTGAGCTTTGGCAATGGGGATTATGCACGATTGATTTATCTATTATAAATATTTGTATCCTGTCTTGCTATTTGAAAATTATCAAGGTAACTAACAACATGATAAAATAGTATAAAAAGCAAAATTCTCAACAGCTAAGAGTTAAACAGATAAAATAATTTATGTTATGGGTATGGGATTCCTAGTTACTGCGGGAAACCATGATGCTATGCTCTATAACAAAAATGCACTAAGACCAGTTTCCTGCGACACTAGCCCTTGCCGTAATGAAAGAAAACGGTTAATGCAGATCTTGTATACAAAGGGGTGGAAGGATGATGCAAACTACCTGCTCTGGAAATTTTGTGACCAGCAAATACAAAAGTTTATAATTGGCCAGAGTATGCTAATATTTACTTTATTACCATATTTTATCTAATTTGTGGACTTGTTTTCTATTTACCTTTTTTAAAAGTGGTGTTACTTTTGGTTTGTGTGTGGTCAAACACTGAAGCAGTATTTTATTGAAACTTGCTTCAAGCTCTCACTGTCTACTAGCTTTAGAACTTGAACCCATTTCTTAATTATCCATTTATTAATTTAAGTGCAATCATGCTTAAAAGAAGGTCCTACAGTGTTCATTAAATTACAATAGAATGACTGAATATGCTAAAACAGCATCCTGTTACAACTCTGCAGTTACCAGCTAGCTTTGGCTACTGGGTGCTATAAAAATTAATTAATTAATTAAATATAAATAATAATCAGACTCTCAGTTCCTGGGGAAGACTGTTCAATAGAAAAATAGAGTTAATATTGAAACAGACTTCAAATAACTCCATTTGTAAAGAATGGCTTGAAATTTAAGAGTGAACTCCATTTCACATTTGAGGTGATTTAAAAGTCTCTGTGAATCTTCTTTTCAAAAACGTTTGAGAAGGTTTGGTGTATGTGTTTGAAATGCCTTGAGGCTGAAGAAATGATGCATCAGGGACCAACTTATTGTAAATGTATTTGGTCCTTTTAGGAACTCCTATGTCAGACTTAGACATCTGTGTACGAATACTTGGGTTCACAGCACCAATATCCCCATTGATAAAGAAGAAGAAAAGCCTGTGATGCTTAAAGTAAGTCCTTCAAGGAAGTGAATCTCTCCCATTCTCATCTTGCTACCAGTGATGTTATTTGAGAGAAGAAGGTTGGCAAGTCTCTGGTTGCCACAATTCTGCTTTTGGTCATTCTTCAAAAAACATGTCAAGAACATAATTTGGTACTCTGAATCTTTGGTTGAAAGAAAACAAACATATTTTAGAAGATTCCAAACCAGGGTACTTTCTGCCAAAGGTGTTTGTGTGTCACATGTGATTGATTACAAGTCATATGGGAGTCTACTTATCTGTTTGGCTAACTGAGGAAGTAATTGGTGCCAGTGGTACTGAAGCCTTCCTTTGTTCTTGCATCAGGAAAACCTTGTGCTAGTGTTAGAATCTCTTCCTAGAATCTCTATTCTTATTTACAGCTGAGCCAAAATAGTCAGAGAGGAAGGCTACAGCTAGAACATAACATCAAAGCTTGTTAACTATTTTCATTTCCAGTTGACAATGGCACAGTTGTTACAAATAAAAAATAAATGTATTTAAGGCTGTTAGCATGTTGAGAGTTGAGAAATGTCACCAGAATGGACAGAGTTTTTGCCACCATAGTGTCACACCTAATAACATCATAGTGTTACTAAACCTTATTTCCCTATTTCTTCATTTTCTGTACTGGAGCATGACTAAAATTGCCTTGCTTTTAAGATTGGCACTTCTCCAGTGAAAGAGGACAAAGAAGCTTTTGCTATAGTGCCAGTTTCTCCTGCGGAAGTTCGAGACTTGGACTTTGCAAATGATGCAAGTAAGGTGTTGGGTTCCATTGCTGGCAAGCTGGAAAAAGGAACAATAACCCAGAATGAAAGGAGGTAAGATTATCATAATGTAAGCTTAAAGAAAAAAATGTTGCCCCTTAGCTTTACCCACCCCCAACAAAAAATTAGCAAGCTAGAGAAGGCAGATTTTGGCCCTGTTTCTTCAAAATAAGCTATCATTGATTGTAACATTCCTTCCCCTTCAAATGATACTGAAAAAATAGACTTTGAACTTTTACACTAATATTTCCAGGATTGCCTTTGAATTTAATAATCTATTTTATTTCATTCTAACTTAGTTGCTGAATATATTTAGGGTAGGTATACATTTATATTGCATTTTGAATTAACAGCTTGGGTTTTTAAAATTTCTGTAGGTCTGTTACAAAGTTGCTGGAAGATTTAGTATATTTTGTTACTGGAGGAACCAATTCTGGTCAAGATGTACTTGAAGTGATGTTCTCAAAGCCAAACCGAGAGCGACAAAAGCTAATGAGAGAGCAAAATATTCTGAAACAGGTACAATAAGTTGTATTTCACAAGAGAAACTCTGGTATGTGAAATGGTTGCAAATAAAATATTTGACAGAGATCATTGGATGGGGCTCATATCTAGGAATGGATGTAATACCATATCACTATCAATTCACTGAATGGCAAAAACCCTATGAAAAAGCCCAATTCCATGCTAGTGGTTATTAGAAAAGGGGACAAGAATTAAGCTCTTGGTATCAATGTGTATGGTGCAGTTGCATTTGGAATACTATGCAAAATTCTGATTTCCCTGAAAAATACATTCTTTATTTCCTCTATTTTAATTGACTCCTGTGAGCATATGCTGTGTGAACATTAAGCAAGGATCACAAATAAATTCAATTTAAAATATATTGAATAGACGATGAAATGGTAAAATACAGATATCAATAAAACAGGGAAGACATGGTATACAATAAACAATGCATTGCTTAAAAACGATTGAAGCAAATTAAATGAAGCAGTTATGCATGCAACTGCCATTTAAGGCAATGATAAAAGAATAAATGGAATGTAAAAGTAATTGCATTAGCTAACTGAGACATAGCAAATGATAAATGAAATAAAAGAAAAAGCATACTATCTCCTAGCTTAGTCTAGCATCCTTTCCAGATCAGCCAATTTAAGCATTCTAAATTCCCAGATGAACACTTTGGGTTTCTTAGGTTGTTTTCAAGTTAAAATAAATATATTTTTTTAAAAATCTAGGCATTAGTCTGAAAATCCTTAGGTACATTAGAAGTCCTAATGCATAAGTGTTCAGAGGAAGCGAGAGATAAAATAATATAAAGGAACCTATAAAATCTCTAAAAAGCACAATAGGATTACCTTAGCAAAGATGAAAAGTTTGAAAAAGAAATAGTCTTTCCGTTAAGGAAGTAAGCATACTCAGAACTTCAGGAAAGTCATTTTCAATAAAGAACATCTTAAATGTTCAGTTTGTCAAATGATTCAATATATCTCAAACCAGACATTTTCTTCTGAGAGCTACAGTTTAATGCTGATATTAAGTACTTCCTTATTCCCTCAAATAATGTGCTAGATCTTCAAGCTATTACAAGCACCTTTTACTGACTGTGGAGATGGACCGATGCTGAGACTGGAAGAACTAGGGGACCAACGCCATGCTCCTTTCAGACACATTTGCCGGCTCTGTTATAGAGTGCTGAGACACTCCCAGCAAGACTATAGGAAGAACCAGGTTAGAAAAGAAAAGAGTTTAGGCAATTCTGGTGTGTTTCTGGTGTGCTTTTCTAGCATTTACTCATAAAGGACCACTGTTTTGTATAGAAAACGTTTGTGAACCGTTATCATTTCTGGTCTTCATTTTCAATAATGGTCACTTTTGAAAAGCCAAGTTTTATTTCACAATTCTATTTGAGGGTAGCATCTCTTATCTATATGTCCTTAAAGAACTATGGTAAACAAAACATTTCAGATTCAAAATTACTGGCAAATGAAGATAGCAATGTATAGTGGGATGTTTGGTGGTGATGATAGTGACATTTTGATAACAGATGTAGCAGGAAAATTCCATAGTTTATTGGGCAGCTGTATGCAATATTTACCTGGATATGTGTTTTATATGGCGGGTTCTTTATAATATAAAGCTGGTGCTATGTGAACAAACACAACAAAAGGAATCTAACCATAGTCTAAAGGCCAAAGCAAATACTTTCTTGAATGAAGGGCATTGTGTGTACATTTCTGTAATTGTCCTTTTTGTTTTTACTTTGTGAACAAGAGCTGTGCTTATGTATCTCCTTTTTGCTTTTCCAGTGGGGTTCTGTTTATCATTGTAACTAAGCCAGGGCAACAAATAATTTATGCAAACCGCATGAGCCATAATCCAGGATTGCAAACCCAGCATACAATCAGCAGTTCTTATGATGAAAATATGCATCACACCTTGCTTTTCTCCATGTCCTTTTTCTAAGAACAACAAATTACATCACAAATGAAAACAAATAGATAATTGTCCATTCCTCTAACTCTTAAGATTTTAAAGTGAATTTAGTATCTCCTTTTCCCTTTTTAATTTGTAAGGAATACATAGCCAAGCAGTTTGGCTTCATGCAGAAACAAATTGGCTATGATGTTTTAGCAGAAGACACCATAACAGCATTGCTGCATAATAATCGTAAACTGTTGGAGAAGCATATAACAGCTGCTGAGATTGAAACCTTTGTTAGCCTTGTAAGAAAAAACAGGGAGCCCAGGTAAGAGTTGTACCTTCTATTGTGTTGATAAAATAAGGAATGCATAAGAACTTCAGCAGGGTTTCTGATAGGGCTTGGATCTATTGAATAGAATGGCCAGGTAGACTGTGTCCATTCCTTTTTCTATCTTTCTCCTTATAACTGTGCTTATTATACTTGTGAACTTTCCTTATTATGATATTGCATGATATCACAATAGAGGTGATGATATCTGTGGACATCACAGTGATGTGCAAGGAGTTCAGCAAAAGTTACTTATCTTTGCTCCTGTTTCTTTTCCCAAATCTGGTGTGATCTGTGATACTCTTAGCTGAAATCTGATGGACTTTTGGGGTTCCTATAGCATGTATTATAACATAGTAATGCAGTTTAATAAAATGGAATCAGCTGCTTGTTTGAAGAAGAATAATCCCAGGCTCCTTGTGCGCCATGGTTTTGTAGAAAAGAGAGATTTTTAAAATGGTGTGTCAGGTGGCCAAAAATGGCATAGTGAGCTAGATGCATCTTGTAACTATGTGTTTCCTATGACAGTTTTAAAATTAATATTTTAGTCTAGATATTTGTTAGCATCCCAATAATGCATCTCTTTAGCATTTGAAAGATTGTTCAAAGATTAATGAGCTGTGGATTTTCCTCCCCAACAGGTTCTTGGATTACCTGTCAGACCTTTGTGTGTCCATGAACAAATCAATTCCAGTGACACAGGAGCTGATTTGTAAAGCTGTGTTAAACCCAGCAAATGCAGACATACTCATTGAAACTAAGTAAGTTGAAAGGTATTTCAAGAGCATTCTTCCATTTAGAAAGGAGATAATTACGCTATTCAGAATTCTAGCAAAGATGACATATCAACATTACCTCCAGTTCAGGGTAAATGGAGATCAATTGTAGATTGCTTTTTTGTGGTAGGACATTGATTGCCTTTTGGATTCTCAAAGCATTTTTAATCCTTATCTGATGAAGTGGGTATAAAATTAACATAAGACCTGTCTAAGGGTGCTTAAACCATATAATTAATTGGCAGAGGGTGTGGTGTTAGCTGGTATAAAGGCTGTTTTCTAAAAAACAAAAGCGGTAGATTTATGAAGATAGAACTATATAATTGCATGTTTCTTGCACACATTTTTTTAGGCTGGTCCTGTCTCGGTTTGAATTTGAAGAGTTATCATCTGGAGAGAATACACTGGAGGTTGGTGAGGATGAAGAAGAAGTCTGGTTATTCTGGAGAGACAGCAACAAAGAAGTCCGCAGTAAAAGTATCAGAGAGCTAGCTCAGGATGCTAAAGAAGGGCAGAAGGAAGACCGGGATGTACTCAGCTACTACAGGTTAACATCAGAAACAGTATTTGGCTATGGCATCATAATCTGAAGTGTTCAGTATCCTAATTGTAATCTTATTAAATGGCTAAGATATCTACTTGAAGTGGTAGTTACTGAGGTTGATTATAGGAAATAATTGACCCTGGCAGCTGTTTCATACAACTGCAGTCACAGTTTTGTAAACTAGCACAGTGATCATGTGTCCAATGAGATTGTGTAAATTTATTTACATATTATAAATGTATGAAAACTGTCTGGTAGCACACTGTAATGGTAAAGAATGTTGCTTAAATTTGTTTCATGAATTTAAGGAATGCATCATGGCTTCCTTTTCTTTTTGGTGCGTTTTTGAGGATTAAGTACCTGTAGTCTACCTGGTATATTTTCAGAAACTGAATATACAATAGTGGTGTTGGATTACAGAATGTTTTTCAAAGGTTCTAGGCCTCCAAAGTCAAGCTAATACAAATTTACTCCACTAAGTGTTCTTTCTAGGCACTACACAGAGACCGACACAGAGTTATTGCTTTGTCCTAGTATTTCAGCAGTTTAATAATTCCTGTACAAACAAATAATTTTTCTCCTTCTCTCCTACCTTCCAAAGATACCAGCTGAATCTTTTTGCTAGAATGTGTCTTGATCGGCAGTACTTGGCTATAAATGAAATATCTGGACAGTTGGATGTAGACCTCATTCTTCGATGCATGTCTGATGAAAATTTGCCGTATGACTTGAGAGCTTCATTCTGCCGGCTGATGCTGCACATGCATGTTGACCGTGATCCTCAGGAGCAAGTGACACCAGTGAAATATGCCCGATTGTGGTCAGAAATACCTTCTGAAATTGCAATTAATGAGTGAGTACTTTGTGATCAAACAGCTCTTTAAGAGGAAGACTGTCAAACATAAAGCCTGACACTCTTATTTATTGATAAATTACTAAGTCTGTTTGAGCAGTCAACATTAATAAGAAAAGATTTAATAACAGTGACAGTGATAATGGTGATGATGATAATGGATCATCATCATCAATAATAATAATAATAATAATAATAATAGTAATAATAGATAATTAAAATACTTGGAAGTCAAACTGACCAAATATAGCTTTGGCTGGTCAATCAAGAACAGCTTGTATAAAGAAACGTGTGTTCAGCAGGCACTGAAAACTAAATTACAGTGAATCCTTCCTGACATCATCAGGGAAGGAGTCTATTGAGCCAATATCCTTAAAGACCGTGTCTAGGTAGACTCCAAAGCAACTAAAGGTGCATGTAGAACCAACAGGGGTGTCTCATCCAGTGGTCTCAGGGGCTGAGTAAGCTGGGTGACCAAGAAAGTGCTCTCTCCTGTATCCCGATCCAGTTATGTGTATGGCTTCATATAATTCTTCATTGAATTGCTAGTGTGACTACTTCAGGGGATGGAACCATCTTCAGACAAGTGTGTGCCTGGGAATGAGCACTTCATGACTTTTGGGAAGCAGGCGCACTTGCTGTGGGAACCTCCTTTGTTAAGCATGCTAGAACAGATAAACTGGCAGAATCGCAGGAAACCTTCCGATTTCTAATTTTGTGTTTTGACTGAGGTTTGATGTTGAGTTCAGGTGGAGTTGTGCTTTAGTGGAAAATAATGTGTGAGGACATTTTCTGGATGGAAAGTCTGACCCTGCTATCTCAAAGAAACGGAAAAACTGAATGTATACATATGTATCAGAAAGGAAGACCTAAATGTGTAGTTGCTGACTTTGACAGCAGCTGCTGCATGTTATTGTGCAAACCAATACAAACTAGACAAATAAAAACTAGTGACTAGTGTTGCCTAAAGCAGAGAATATTTTTTGTATATTTCCAGATAATTCTCTTGAAGAGAATTAAAGAGTGAAATGCTTTCTATTGAAATCTTCCAACTGAGGCTTTTCTTTTTCTTTTTTATCTCAGTTATGATAGCAGTGGAACTTCCAAAGATGAAATCAAGGAGAGATTTGCACAAACCATGGACTTCGTGGAGGAATATTTAAGAGATGTTGTCTGCCAAAGATTCCCTTTCTCTGATAAAGAAAAAAATAAACTCACCTTTGAGGTAAATATTTTTGAATAAGTCTGCATCTTGGGGTACCTAGTAGATGCTAAATCTGACAAGCTATTCTAAATCACATTCGATTGGACTATGAACCATTCTTGTACCGAGCTATACAGTTGGCCCATCCATAGCTTAGTGGCAGAGTTCCTGCACCGTATGAAGAAATTCCCAGGTTCAACCCCTAGCATCTCCAGTTAAAAGCTTCCAGTTTCAGGTAGTAGGCAAGAATTCTGCCTGATGTATTTCTGCCCCTCAGTTCAGACAACTAGAAGGAAGTAGTGTCTGCCTAATATAAAGCAGCTTTTAATATTTTTTCAGTATTGTCTGTTGTCTTTGCCAGACAGAGAATTCTTTTGCCATGGGAGTGGCCCACACACAGCAGTAGCAGGAAATCACTTTTGCTCAAATACTATCCAGAAAGCCTCCCTAATATGCAATAAAACATAGCAAAATGCATATTAAATTACTGAGAAGGCTATTGTGACACCTTGGTTACAGCAGAGCAATACAGCAATAGTGTCAGTACCCTTGTGTTGTACATTTTGAGAAGTGAAAGATAAACTGCACTGTATTTTGCCTTTCTTCTATGAAGGTTGTGGAGGCATTAATGGAGTTAATCTTTTTATTCTTCCACTTGTCCAGGAAATGGATTTGGGTTGGAAATTAGTTACTGGTCTGAGCACAGGCCTCCCAGGCTGCATGGGTGACTTGAAGATTGAGTCTTTTATATATTCTCTACATCACACTGGTTCTGTGTCCCTGTAGTACAGGGGCTTTATGAATAGGGTTGATATCCTTGTGTAGGCTAAATATGTGTAAATTTTACAAGACTGCTTCAGATGTCATTTTGTGAATTAGATAGAGAACATAAGAGATTGTAAGAAACTATTCAACAAATGAATCCCCCTTTCCCCTTTTTCAAAATACAGGTGGTAAACCTAGCCCGAAACTTGATATATTTTGGCTTCTACAACTTCTGTGACCTTCTAAGACTAACAAAAATCCTCTTAGCTATTTTGGACTGTGTACATGTTGCTACTATCTTTCCAATCACTAAAGTAGCCAAAGGAGAAGAAAGTAAAGGTAATAATGGCAAAGAATAAAGTCCAGAGTGACTTGTTTTAGTAATCCATGCTTTGTTAATCTCTCAGATTAGATTATAGAAATACGGTTTATGTGGGACTTTTCTTAAAGACTATTCAGAAGCTGCAACTTGCGCTAAAAGTGGCAGCCAGATTAATAACTGGGACCAGAAGGGCTGAACATATAATACCAATTCTGGCCTATTGGCTGTCCATACACTTCAAGGGTGCTGGTTTTAACCTATAAAGCCCTACATGACTTCGTACCGTAATACCTGATGGAATATCTCTCCTAGCCTAGACCCCATGATCTGCATCTGGTTTTAATTAGGTCTTGTTTTTAAGTGAAATCGTTTAGATGTTAAACTGTGTTGTATTTTTGTATATTTTTGTAGCTATTTTAAATTTGCATACTAGAATTTCATACTGTGTTTTATTGTATCTTTTGTATTTGATTAATTGTTGCAACCACTGAGAGAGCTTTATAAAGCAATAAATAGATACATAAATATGTAAAATTTGGGATTTATATCTTTCAGAAACCCACAGGCTTGCTCTCTTATATGGATATTCTGCTAGTGTTAACATTCATTTTCCCCCATCACTGCTGCAGTTAATAATATGGAACCAGCTTCAGTTATAATATCAAAGTCCCAGAGAAGCCACCAAGTTTTTGCTACATTGTTGGTTCTAGATTCTAGAATACATAAACATTTTAACAAGATTCTGGAATCGTAACCATTTAGAGTATTAATTATCTACTATGGTCTTTTCTAGCTGCAAATAAAGATTATCATTTTGATTTGACTGAACAAGAAGATTGTATTGATACAGCAACCCAAAAAAACCCAACACAAAAATGATTTGGGTGCATCAAACTCTGCAATATTAACAGATGTAAAAGCAAAAGAGAACCAAAACAAAAATGCAAAAGTATATGATAATGATGCTCCAGTTGCACATTTCTGAGGCTGAAAAGCAAAGCAAAGCAAAACAAAACAAAACAAAACAAAAAAAGCAGGCAACTGTTCCTCCAGAATGTTATTTCAGCATCAGTGGACAGACAGGCACTGGTGAGGTCTCAAAGAATGAGGCTTTTTGCCTCTCCTGCTGAGCAGCTCTGTAGCTGGTTATGGCAACCTGTGGTGAAATAGGTCTCCCAGGTTTGGATGATACAGCAACCTACAAGGTGAACAAACATTACACCTATATTAGGCCTACATTAAACCATGGGTTCTCTGTATTATTTGTGAAAAATAAGCCACCCTGTAGAAAACAATCTTGGTGCAGATGACATATCGAGCACTAGTCAATGCCATGTTGTATCTTCTAGAAAAGGAAGAGGCACTCATTAAATTTCTTTCTACTGCAGTACATCACATAATCCTGTCACAAGCAGAGGCAACATTCCTCTTGCTAAAGGGTTCTGCAAGACCAGGGGTCCTCAAACTTTTTGAACAGGGGGCCAGTTGAAAGGTGCCGGTGATGGATGTGGGTTGCCAAGGCGGTGCAGGCAGGGGGCTCGGGGCAGGGCAGGGGTGCGCATGTACAGAGATTGTTTTAGACTCTGTGCACATGGTGAGGCGCCAGCTTCCTCACAAGGAGATCGTTTTGGACTCAGAGAAAGCAGTCTCCTTGCGAGCAAGCCGCCTCTGGGCGTGCACATGGTGAGGTTCCGGCTTGCTCACAAGGAGATCCTTTTCTCCGAGTGAGTCCAAAACGATCTCCTTGCGAGCAAGCCAGCACCTTGCCATGTGCACATGCACAGCGAGTCCAAATCCTCTATGGCAGACCAGATAAATGGGCATGGCGGGCCAGATCCGCAGGCCGTAGTTTGAGGACCCATGTGTAAGACTATAATCTTAACGTGGCTTCATCTGTCTCTTTCTTCCTAAAGGGAGCAATGTGATGAGATCTATCCATGGAGTTGGAGAGCTGATGACCCAAGTTGTACTCAGGGGTGGTGGGTTCTTGCCTATGACGCCACTGGCTGCTGCTCCGGAAGGTAACGTGAAGCAAGTTGAACCTGAGAAAGAGGATATCTTGGTAATGGACACGAAACTGAAAATCATTGAAATCCTTCAGGTATATATCAGCTGACATGGCCTGGAAAATTATACTCTTGTCAGTGCAGCATTGTTATGCTTGATTATTTTTGGTTTTTCCTCCCAATGATTGTTATTTTTTTGTAACAGAATTCAGTGTAAAAAGACCTTTTCACTGAATCTAAGATCATTTGTAATGGCTCATTGATTAATAACAAATGAGAACACTGTTCAGAAGATTTTGAGCAAAATAATATGCTGGAGGTGCTCAGAAGGTTGTTCCTATGACAGAACTGCAGTAGCTTCACTTCTGCTCAAAGTATATAGCCCAAAGGCATCTGTGGAGACATAAGTTGTAGAAGCAATATGAGAAATTGGAAGGGAACTACAGTGCAGACGGTCTCAGGATCTTTCTCTTGGCATTTCCTGTTTGGAGGATCAGCTACCACAGGTGCCTGTGATCCTGAAGAGTCACTGGCCACAAAAGGACCAGTACTGGGTTATGTAGACCAATTATCTGAACTGGCATAAGGCAGCTCCCTGTTGGTTCTAGTAGGATGTACACATTTATGAAGATGTAGCCAAAATGTATAGATCCCAACTGAAAATGTGGGACTTCTGCATCATGTAGCATTTACTTCCTTGGTGGTATAAGGTTTCAGAATAAGTTTGGGACAAGTGGTGTCAGTTCCTCTGAACATGTGTACATGTGCAGTGTGTGTGTGAGATATATGAACACCAGAAGGTCTTTTTTTGGGGTTTTAACTAAATGTAGAATATACTTTTTCGATTTTGAATGCTGTCTGTTTTAAACTGGTTGAATGTAAGATCTCTGTTTTCTAAAACATGCATCTTTTTATACAAACTAAACAGGTAATAAAAGCCGTGCTATAAAAGTAATTAATTTTCTATCTCCTTTCTTTCCTTAAAAAAAACCTTGGAATTATAAGTTTATTTTGAATGTGAGATTGGATTACAGAATTTCATGCCTCCTGTGTATATTTAAACGAGAGTTTGATGAAAGCAATGCACAGACACCAGATTCACCAACAGGAAATAATAGTCCAGAAATGCCCAATGTACCAGGTGAGTTATTACATTTTTTTCTCAATGCACATTAAATAGCTATAAATAGGAGCACATTGTATATTATCACCTTTTTAACAAGTTCTTGGATTTTTTGGATAGCAAAGAAGATAACATCTATTCCAATATCTGTCAGGACAATTCTTTGGAGCAAGATACAAAATTGTCATAATTTGTTAGGCTATTACTCTCACATTAATATTTACTCAGATGTGATGTGAAAATTCTTTGAGGAACATTAGCAAGCAAGAATTCAAAGATTTTTGGAGCTAACTACCTAGAAAGAAGGGGAAAAAAGGAAGGAAGAGACATGACTGATCAACAGTTATGTTTGAGCATCTCCACCTTGAGCATCTCTTGGCTCAAGAGACAGGTTACGGTGTACCATTCTGCTGGCATACCCTAGTGCTAGTGTTAGAAACTCGGGAACGCTTCTCCTGGGTATTTAATGCCTGTTATGACAATGATAGGGCTGTTTTAATATATCACTACCACCATAAATACTAGAATACAGTCTCTTGGCCTAGTGTTTTTGACCATGCAGGAGGTTGGAGAACTAGAAGGGATAGTGAGTTGTCTACAACCTGTTATCTTTAAAACCTGAAATGGTTTTGGTACCAGGTAGCAGCCTGTCTTTGCACTATGATAATCAGGGGAGGCCCTTTTCTGTATCTATATGAAATATATAATACTCATCTATAAGTGAGAGTACTTTGTTGTTGGTAATGGCCAGACTTGGAAAACCACCCTGCAGATGGCACTGTATGGCACTGATATTGCATTTTTTGGTTTTGTATTTAAAATTAAAACTTAAATTTCCTAAGGCATTTTAAGTTTAAATACATATTTTAGATGGTTGAAATAGTTCTATGCCTCTCAGTGTCTATATTTATATTGGGGTAGTTCTGTGCCCCTCATTTTTATTGTATCCTACACTGAGCAGCTTAATTAACTTTACTATTTTAGGGAAAACAAAGGATGTCTAAATTAGTCATTCATCCTTTGTTTGCATTTTTCTGTGTGAGGACCAAATGAGATCCACACATGCCTGGAATTGACAGGATCTCACCATGGGAGAGAGACTGTCAGATATTACACAAAGAGCAGAGATGGAGAAACCATTAATTCTTTGCTTATCCTGTGCTGCTCTGGAAAACTGCAAAATTGTTCTTAAAAATTAATCTGCTCTTTTTAAAAAAGCAGAGCAGTGGGGGTATTGTCTTCTGCCCTCTTCTTTTGGTTGCCCTTGCAACTGAAATTTATACAAACTGGATTAACTTTGCATCACTGACAATTTGTGTTATTCATTCGGATTACACAATGAGCTCTTCTATTATGGAGCATGGCTCTCCCTTCAGAGAGAATTGCCTTTCCTTTTCAGCTGAGGATTTTTATAATCCACTTATTCCAGTCTCTAAAAAAGAAAGAATGGTAGAGAGTTTGTTTTTTTATTATTCATTGATTTAAGCTGTTTTGCAGCCTCTCATAGAACAGGGTAATGTATGTGTTTTCCTTTCCAGGAGCCCTTGACTTTGAACATATTGAAGAACAAGCTGAGGGGATATTTGGAGGCAGGAAAGTAAACTATGGCACCTTGTATTCTTCTGTTCAGGACTATATATGAAACAGCTTCTGGATTGCTGCAGTTCGCAGTTCTTCAGGGGATCAAGTCACTTGTACTAATCATTCATATACACATTTGCTTGTACATATTTGCTAGTTTAAGAAGCATGGAAATGTGAAAAGAAGTTATTTTCTGTCTCTTAAGGGGATCTCTGGATGAAGGGGATTGGAGGGGGTGAAAAATGCTTATTCTAGTGCTCAGGTAGCATCTCATGTATCAGACTGGAGGAGGGTTGTGCAGTGGGTAATCATTCAGCAGAAGAAGAATGTTGAAGTGAAAAAGTACATTGGGGTCTGGCAACCAAGCCCTATGAGGAGCAAAAAGAGCTGGGTACATTTAGCCTAGAGAAGAGAAGATTAAGGGAAAATGATAATTTTCTCCAAATATATGAAAAGCTGTCATGCAGAAGATGACATGGACTTGTTCTCTGTTGCTCTGGAGGTCAGAGCTAGAATCAGCTGATAGAAAGTTCAGGAAAGCAGATTTTGGCCAAACACTGAGAAGTTTCCGAAGAGTGAGTGCTGTTCAGCAGCGGGATTGGTTAAGGTGGTGGTGGGATCTCTTTTCATGGAGGCATTTAAGCAGAGGTTGGATGGCCTTCTGTCAGAAATGCAGTAACTACACCATGCCATGGAATGCCTGTGTTGAACAGGTTGTTCGACTAGATGATCTCTAAGGTCCTTCCTGACTTTGTGATTCTCTTTCAGATATGGCTAGTGTGGGTAGAATTCACAGAATGGTGAAAGAATTCTGTAAGAGAGGCTTGCCAGTATTTGCTGACATATTAATCCTATTTTAAATTCTTCGTAACCACATTGCTAGAGTGGCACAACAAAGAGTGATATAAGCCTCATTTGATCTCTAGGAAATTATGGTTCTTACAGAGTCAAGATACTAGCTATGGGAAAACGTTTGGATGAAGGGTCAGTAGCTGCTTTAAGGGCTAGCTCTAAAGGTTTGTCTAGAATGAAGCTAAGAAGTCTTCAATATGAAACTGGCATTCAAATGGAAAAATGTGGAGGGGGTTGATTAGCAGTACTGGACATGGGGACATGGGGGTATTAGATATTCAGGACATGGGGGTATTAGATATGTGGAGGACTGATGCAGTCAATACGAAAAGGTTGTCCTTTCCCTTTTCCCCCGAACTGTCTAACAGTAGAGTTTTACAGTCAGTTGCAATAAGCGGTGATCTCTGGTTTCTCTTCCAGCACCAGGTGTGGTAACAGAGTTGCCTGGGTGGTGGTAAACAGGGAGGGTATACATCAGTTTTTCATTTTGTTCTAATTTTACTTTCTTTTGTGTTTTCAGTGAAGAGAATACACCTCTAGATTTGGATGATCATGGTGGCAGAACCTTTCTTAGAGTGTTGCTCCATTTAACAATGCACGATTACCCTCCACTGGTATCTGGGGCCCTTCAGCTACTCTTCAGACACTTTAGTCAGAGGCAAGAAGTCCTTCAGGCCTTTAAGCAGGTAAATGTAACTGTGATGAATTCTCTGCACTTTGAATGCATATAGTGCAAGTACGTTACGCAACTAATGGATTGCAATTCATGTAAGGTTCAACTACTTGTTACCAGCCAAGATGTTGACAACTACAAGCAGATAAAACAAGATTTGGATCAGCTGAGATCAATTGTGGAAAAATCAGAACTCTGGGTGTACAAAGGCCAGGGGCCTGATGAAACAATGGATGTAACAACTGGAGAGAATGAACATAAGAAAAAGGAGGTAAAAAGAGTGTTTGTCTTTGTTATATAGGTCCTGTAACGTGGTGGCAGCCTTGGGCAAGCTACTTTTTCACCACTTCAGATCTCCCATTTTCCTGTTGGTAATAGAATTAAATTATAGTTGAACACAGTTTATAGATTTTGTAAACTTTCCTGAGATAATTAATGAGAAGCACATTGACCATTAAAGCACATTAAAAATGTTTGTTGTTGTTAGTCACGAAGTCGTGTCCGACCCATCGCAACCCCATGGACAACATTCTTCTAGGCCTTCCTGTCCTCCACCATTCCCGGAGTCCACTTAAGCTCACACCAGCTGCTTCAGTGACTCCATCCAGCCACCTCATTCTCTGCCGTCCCCTTCTTCTTTTGCTATATCTACTGTTCTCAGCATTAGGCTCTTCTCCAGGGAGTCCTTCCTTCTCATTAGGTGGCCAAAGTATTTGAGTTTCATCTTCAGTATCTGGCCTTCTAAAGAGCAGTCAGGGTTGTTAAGTACCAGTACAATGTGATCATGGCTGACATTGGCTGACATTGCCTGGCTGACATTGGTGTAATCCCATGTACTCTCCAATAAGGTATTTTGTGTCTGTATGTTTTTTGTATGTATGTTTACTCTTTTAGAGTAATGTTCCCCCCACCCTTCTTTTAGTAGAAAATGTTCAATAGGTTAGTTTGGTGGAGATAGGGCTTTGGTGCTGAGGGAAACTTTCAAAGTCTTGAACGAAATAGTAGGACTTCTTATAACCAGAGCTATTGCTCTCTCCCTACAGATAATAGGTAATATCATGGCTTACTTACAGTTTAGTCCAGTTTGATTTCTGAGCCCATCCTTTTAGTCAGCAAGTTCCCAAACACCCTCCTCTTTTTCACCCATGGTCTACCCATTGACTCTTCCTTTTCCACAACTGGCTAGTGATGAAGAAGGAATGAAAGGCAGAAGATCTTTCTTTTTTTAGTACTTAAGAAAAGCCATGCTAAAGGTCCATCTAGCCCAACACTCCATACACATGGTGCAAACCAGCTGCCCACAGGATCCTTCAAGTGGGATGGATACAAGACCTCCTGCTCAAGCTCCTCAGCAACTAGGGTATGCAGGCACTCCACCTCTGGTAATGGAGGTATTCCATAGCCAGCAAGGCTAGTGGTCACTGACAGCCTCCTCCCCCATGAATCTGTCCAATTGTTTTTTAAAGCCATCTAGATTGGTGGCCATCACAACTTCCCATGGCAGCAACTTCCATAATTTAACTATATACTGTGTGAAGAAGTACTTCCTTTTATCTGTCCTAAACATCCCATCAGTCAGCTTCATGGGATGAGCCCAGGTTTGAATGTGCCCGTCTCTATTTCCTCCACATCGTGCATTATTTTAAACTCTCCTATCATGTTTTCCTTTACTAACTTGTTTCCTAATTTGAACAGTCCCAGTTCTTCTTCGTGGTCTGCATGCAAATCACACACCAATGGGGCTTGACACACAGTGTAGGCCTCATCCGGTGGAAACTTCCAGAGCTGGTCGCCATGGAGTGGGCGGGAGCAGGGACCGCCCTGCACTCTGAGTGGTACATAGGCGGCAGCTCCCACCCATTCCCTCAGTTCCTTTTCAACCGCACTGGGCTTCACTCTCTGGGTTGGACCTCTCCAGCTTAACTGGTTCGCCATTTTTTTTCTTTCTCTTTCTCCCTTCTATTATAAGGGAGTATAATAGACACACACACACACACACACACACACACACACAACTCTTCTCCTTTAACTGTGTGGAGAGAAGGCTGCCACTTCTCTCCCCTCTTTCTCTTGCCTTTCTCAATCTCCAGTTTTCTCTCTCTTCCTTGAATCGCCCACATGCGATTGCCCTCCAAGGACCGCATGGCCATTTCAGCTCCACACTGCTGCACCTCCTGCGTAGCTGGGATGCCTGCCAACGATGGGCACCCTAAGTGCCTCCTCTGCCTCAGCGAGGGGCATATCGTGGAGACTTGCATCCACTGCCAGGCCTTTAAGAACAGATGGCTGAAACAGGCCTTATGGTGGCGTGACCTCACATCCTTTACCCTGGGAGTAGATAACCCCACTGGGGAAGATTCCTCTAAGCCCACCAGGGCAAGGAGGAGGGCAGCGTCGCCTGGGGAAGGCCCTTCCAACGCTGTGGCGCCGGCAAAGAAAAGAAAGCGCTGCGCTGCAAAGGAGCCACTTCCCGTGGCATTGGAGCCAGCCCGGGATCGCGCGGTCTCCCTGGCCTCGGGAGCACACTGGGGCACAACCCCCACTGATCTGGCACTAGAGAAGCCGGGCTCCGCCATCCCAGCAACGCTGCCCATGCCTCTGGCCGCCCCCGCACGGGGCATGGCTGCCATGACCACAATGGAAACTGCTGACAGAGCGTCTTCCCCCCACCCCCGGGGTAATGCTGGTCCCCAGCGGCGCCCACAGGTGCAGAGAACGTGCAACAGAGCCGGCAGGATCATCGCGTGCCCCCCCACTGGAACGGAGGGGGATCGGCACAGCAGCTAGAGGCCTCCCTGCTCTCCAGCTCTACGATCTTCAGCTCTCTGGCAACGGGGAGGCCCTGCCCAGCCGATTTTGACTCGGCTTTATCAGAGGCCCACGCTTCCCACGCCAGGCCTAGGCCCAGGCCTCAAGGAAGAGGCTTACGAGAGTGCAACGTGCACGGAGCCTCTCTTCCTCTAGCGACTCCACTCTCAAGAGAGCGGCGCCGGCGCGAATGTTCTCCCGCCTCACTGCCAGCGCCCAGGAGGCCTGTGCAAGGCCGAGGCAGAGGCAGCCAGCAGGAGCGCTCCAGGACCGCATGGCGCTTAGATCACACCAGCAGGAAGCAGGGCTCTCGCGGATTGGATTACTGCCCCCACTCCCCTGCAACCCCAACCCACTCCCCTGGGGGGCAAGCCTGGGACCAGGATCTCTCCTTTTCACCTGCCAAGAGGAGTAGTTTCTCTGATACGGTGCTCCGCATGGCCTAGGGCTTAAACTTCCAAACCTGCCAGCCCCCTGAGCCTGAGGCAGACCCGTGCTATGATGCATTTGCCTCTGGGGACAACACCTCAGTGTCCATCCGGGTCATGCCTGCCCTGCTGCGCACAGCACAGCAGTCCTGAAAGGCCCCGTCTGGCCCTTTGGCCACCTCACGCAGGGCTGAATCCAGGTTTAAAGTTATGGTCAAGCCCTTCCCCTGCCTACTTCGCCACCCTAGGCCCAACTCGGTCATTGTGGAGGCCATACAGGGTACTCCGCAAAGGGACCAGCCCACCCCAGTGGACAGAGAGGGGCACTGCTTGGATGCGATGTCCAAAAAGATCTAAGCTGCATTTGGATTCAGAATATCCAACTATGAGGCCACTATGGCCAGATACCAACTTTTCCTATGGGAAAAGCTGGGAGCTACTGTGGGCCAGCTCCCTGAGCACCTGCGTGAGCCCGTCCGCCTCATGCACACTGAGGCTGAGGACCTTTCCAGGTTCCAGCTGGAGGCAGCTCAATATCATGTCGACTGTGACAGCAAGGCCATGATGGGGGCAGTGGCTATACGCCACCATGCCTGGTGGCGTTCTGCCTCTCTCCCCGCTGAAACCCAAGCCTGCTTTGAAGACCTGCCCTTCGATGGCGAAGGCCTCTTCAGTACTAAAACTGACGAGAGTATGAACTCTCTGTACAAAGCGTGCACCACTGGAAAGCGCGTGGGCTTCAGCCAGGGCCCGACACTGAGGAGTTGGCAGGGAATGCAGCCGGTCCCAGACGCCATTCTGGTCCAGACCGCCCCATGCGCTCCAGAGCGCCACCTGCTAACAAAAGGTGGGACTTCCAACCCCACCAGAGACCCCAGCAGAAGCGCCAGGACAACAGGCGCAGGATATGATGCCCTAGCCCAGGCAGCCCCTCCACTACTTCATCTGCTACTCCACCTCCCAACATCTGCTTCACAGACCACCTGGTGCGTTTCCTCCCCGCATGGGAGGGCATCACCTCGGATTCCTGGGTCTTCTCCATCATCAGGTCGGGGTACAGAATTGAATTCGACTCCCTCCCGCCCCTCAGCCACATCAGGACCACGACCCCATCGCCTGCCCTATGGGCGTAAGTACAAGCCATGCTGGACATGGGGGCAATTGAACAGGTTTCCCCCTCTGACCACAGGGGATTCTACTCTAGGTACTTCACAGTACCCAAGTGAGATGGGACTCCGAGGCCCATACTGGACTTAAGGAGGGTGAACAAATTCATCACCCCTAAGAAGTTCAGGATGGTCACACTGCAGGGCATTCTCCCTCTCCTTAACCAAGGAGACTGGTTTGCCTCCATAGATCTCAAGGACCCTTACTTCCATATTGTGATCCACCCTGAGTTCAGACATTTTCTGCACTTCCAAATCGGCCAGCAGGCTTTTCAGTTCTGCGTCCTGCCCTTTGGGTTAGCCACGGCCCCACGTGTATTCACCAAATGCGTGGCGGTCGCTTGTGCCCACCTCAGGCTCCAGGGGATTCAGGTTTTTCCCTACCTGGATGACTGGCTCCTCGTGGCCCCCTCCAGGGAGGATCTACTGCACGGTGTGTCCCTGACACGCCTACTTCAGGACCTGGGGCTCCTTATAAACCACAACAAATCTGTTCTCTCCCCTACACAGTCTATACTCTTCACAGGGGCTCACCTGGACGCCACCCTCACCAAAGCTTTTCTTCCACAGCCAAGGGCAGAGGCCATCACCACTCTGGCCGCTGCCATCAGGGCCGCACCTCTCTCCACTGTCCGCACCATCCAAAAGCTGCTGGGCCTCATGGCCACCACGGTCGCGGTGTTTCAGCTGGCAAGACTTCACATGAGACCTCTTCAGCTGTGGTTCGTGAGAGCCTTTGCGTGGGACAAAGACCCCTCACACAGTCCACCTGACCCACCCCCCCAGGAGGTCAGGGAGTCCCTACCATGGTGGTGCACCGTGGACAATCTTACCATGGACATCCCCTTCCTCCCCCCCCCCCAAGCCCTCCGTGACCGTCACCACCAACGCCTCCAACACCAGCCGGAGTGCTCACTGCGCAGACATGCGCACTCTAGGCCACTGGGACCAGAGGGAGGCCTGTCTCCACATCAACGCTCTGGAGATGCTGGCAGTCCAGAAAGCTCTGGCATCCTTCCAGAACATCCTGTCAGGACATCACGTTCAGGTTGCCACAGACAACACCACCATCATGCACTACATGAACGAAGGACCCATTCCGCCCGTCTTGTGACCTTGGCCTCAGACATCTGGCACTGGTGCACCCAGAAGGGCATCACCGCAGTGCATGTCTCAGGGCGCGTAAACACCCTAGCCGACTCCCTCAGTCGTGCAACCTCCCCCCCCCCCAAGAGTGGGAGCTGGAGACAGCCACCTTCCTCTCCCTGTGCACCAAAGGGGGTCAGCCCATAATTGACCTCTTTGCTACCCCGAACAACGCGAAGTGCAGGCTGTTCTGCTCCTGAGCAGGACACAGCAGGGCATCCCTGGGGGATGCGTTCCTACACATATGGGAAGGGGACCTCTTCTACGCCTTTCCCCTGGTCACCAAAGTAGTGGCCAAAATCCAGAGGGAGGGAACCAGCTGCATCCTGATTACCCCCAGGTGTCCGAGACAACCTTGGTTCCCTCTCCTCCTTGGCCTGTCAGGCCACACCTTCTACCACCTGCCCTTCAGGTCCAGTCTCCTCTCCCAGGACCAGGGCAGGGTCCTGCACCCCGACCTCAGGACCCTGTGCCTAACGGCCTGGAAAATACCCCCCTGACAGAACCTTACGGCTCCCTACCTCAGGCTGTCGCCACTGTGCTATTGGCTGCCCTCAAACCCTCCACATGGCGCTCCTACGAGGCTAAGTGGAAAACCTTCTTGGCTTCCACTACAGCACAGGGCCTTGACCCCACCCTAGCCTCCGTGGAACACTTCCTGGAGTACCTGCGATCCTGCTTCAGAGCAGATCTCTCCCCCTCCTCCATTAGGGTTCACCTAGCGGCCATCTCCCACTTCCACTCCCCCCCCATACAAGGGTCCTCTGTATTTGCCCACCCCCTGGCACACCACTTCCTCAGGGGCCTCTGCAACCTTGCCCCACCAACCCAGCCCCACTCCCCCTCGTGGAGCCTCTCTGTAGTCCTGCAGGCCCTCACAAAGAGGCCCCTCAAACCAATAGCCACAACGGACCTTAGGCTCCTGTCCTGGAAGACTGCCTTCCTGGTGGCCATCACATCAGCCCGACATGCCAGCGAGCTAGCAGCCCTTCAGATCGACGCTCCCTTCACGACGTTCCATAGGGACAAGTCGTACTTTGTCCAGACTTAAGCTTCGTCCCAAAGGTGACATTTTCGTTCCACCTGAACCAGGACATCATCCTGCCTGCCTTCTTCCCCAACCCGTCCACCCCCATTGAGGCCACCCTGCATCTACTAGATGTCAGGAGGGCCCTCGCCTACTACAGGTCCAGGACAGACCATCCGCTGCTCAGAGTTACTCTTCGTTAGCTGTGAGGGCCCCAAAGCCGGGGAGGCTGTCTCCAGCCAGAGACTATCCAAATGAGTCTCCAACTCCATCACCCTCGCCTATGAGATGGCCAAGATCCCAATGACTGGACAGCCACGTGCACACTCCATGCGCGCCCAGGCCACATCCACTGCTCTACTGGCTGGCATTCCCCTTCAGGAAATCTGCAGGGCAGCAACATGGTCCACACCATCGACCTTCGTGCGCCACTACCGGCTAGACGTCCATGCCAGACAGGACTGCACTTTTGGAAGGGCTGTCCTCTCTTCTATACTGCGGTGACGATAGCCTCCCTCCTCCTGAGGGGCCAGCTTGCTAATTGCCCCATTGGTGTGTGATTTGCATGGAGACCACGAAGAAGAAAGGCAGGTTGCTTACCTGTAACTGTCATTCTTTGAGTGGTCATCCATGCAGTCACACAACCTGCCCTCCACCCTGCTGGCTATCGTCAGTTTCCGCCCCATACGGGCCAGGGCAGGGCGCTATCGCCGCTCCATACATGATGCTCGGATCCCTCGCATGCCTGGGGCAGCACAGTCTTCAGGCACTGAGGGAATGGGTGGGAGCTGCCGCCTATGTACCACTCAGAGTGCAGGGTGGTCCCTGCTCCCGCCCACTCCATGGCGACCGGCTCTGGAAGTTTCCACTGGATGAGGCCTACACTGCGTGTCAAGCCCCATTAATGTGTGAATGCATGGATGACCACTCGAAGAACAACAGTTACAGGTAAGCAACCTGCCTTTGTCATAGCTGCTGTTCATAGGGGAGCTGCTCCAGCCCCTCGAGCATTTTTATTGCCCTTCTCTGTACTTTTTCCAACTCTTTACCCCTTTCTCTCGGGCTTCTGAAGAGCAACTATGCAGTGTACAGGTAGCTGCAGAGACATGTAGCCTTTTCAACAGACATTTTTGGGGAAACAGAACAATTGCATTCGTGTTATCATTTGGCTGACATAGAAATGAGCACTATTAAATCTTTTATGTACAATCCAAAATGCTCCTAAATAGACAGCATAAGTTTTATGAAATCCTTAATTCTAGAATTTAGCATTACAAAATTTCAAATCTCTAAATTCTTCTCTAGTTCATATTTAATCCAAATGGAAAATGAATTGCAGTTCTTTTTTTCCTCCCCACCCAACAGTATGCTGTATCCCTGGAGAGATGTCATTTCCTCAAGAGTTTAGGTTCCATAGGGCTTAAGCTGTATTTTTCTGCATTTTTGTTTGTGAAGCATCTGTTGTTCATGTCAGCCAAATGCTAATGTATGTAATTGGAATGTTTTCAGTAGTGTCTACTGAAAAGTTTGAATAAGGTTTGGCTCTGCAACTAAGATATTTGCCTCTCCTCCATAATTTTGTCCCAGCCTATTTGACCATGTCTTTCTATTCTGTGTGGTCTTAACCAATCCCCTGCCTCAACACAATCACAAACAGGTGAACATGTGTTCATATGTTCTAGTTGGGACTCTGTAGATTTTTAAATGTGACATTAAGCTTGCTCACTGTTAAGCCTGAATGTGTTATATTAGATGTATATCTAGTACGTGGAACCCACAGGTTGGCAATGTTGCCCTTTTTAGCTTCCAAACTTTGATGGAAGTTTCCTTCCAAAGCTTGGCCATGGAATGAATTCTGGTTGTTCATGAAAAGGTCCTATATGACCACTGAATGTTGCAATTGGCTTTCCATCTGGACTAAATATGAAGAAATATTTCCCATAGCTTCCATTTTCTAAATAATAAGGTAATTCAGACTAGAATTGGGGACTCTAGAGTATGAACATGTAGAACGATAGACAAATTAGACTCAGAGCAGAGTTCAGTCTGAGGATATAATTTATTGCTTTCAGCACCAGTCTTTTCCCATTGAAATTTGAAACCATGAGCAATGAGATGGATCACATCTTTTATTAGGCCATCTGGCAGCAGACCTGTGGGGAAACATTTGTATCCTAAATGTTTTTGGTCTTTATTTATGGACACAGGAAACTAATTCTGTGATACTGATCAAGAGGAAAATAGCACTTGCTGTTTGGGGAGAAATTGAGGGGGAAACATACTTTCCATATCACCATCATCCATCGGGAATGTAAAGAGGCTTGGAGGCTGGGACAAACAAATCCAGATATCTCAGCTGAGCCGGAAAAACTTGATTTAATGATTTGATTATCATTCATCACAATCTCCTTGCATTTCTGATGGGTAATTGTGACGGGTTTTTATTCATTTTGTTGTTGTTGTTTGTATTTTATGTTTTTAATGTATCATACATGGCCCAGAGAATGTGGGTTATTGGATATAACCAATGTGGGTTAAAAATATAAAAATTAATAAATAAATGTATAGGTTGAATAAAGAAAGAGGGGAACCCATAAATCAGGGGTGAGCAACATGGGGGACAATTTCTACCCTGCCACGCACACCTGAAATTGTGGTAGGAGTGGCAAACAATTGATGGGTTGTTGTTTTGCAAATTTTTGGCAACCACCCACAATAGTAGACTGAAAACACCAGATTTAATTTTAAACCAAGGCAAGCACCTTGTTTTAAAGCTCATTTTTGCCTTTTCAAACCACTGCCGTTTGCCACTGAATTGGTGGCAAGCTACGAATTGTTTTGTTGCTGCTGCCTCGAATTCAGGTGCAGTGGAGGTAGTACTTGAGGCTGGAGGGGGGAGCTTACATGTGCCATATGTTGCCCACTCCAAACTAAACATGATATAAATATTAAAATGTTATATAATTAATTTAAAGCAGTAATCCGATCGCTTTGCTTTCCCTTTTCCTCTTTCCCCATTTTTTTCTGCACACTCCTTTCCTTTCATTATTTCCTCTTTTGTAGAGTGTTTTTTCTTCTATAGTTAGAGACTATGCAATTTAAGTTTTTTTAAAAGATGCAATAGTATAGTAATTTTAAAACAGGTGGAACCCTTTCTCACTTTTTAGTTCCATTCATTGTGTTATTCTTGCCTCCTTCAATTTAGGACTCAACCACCTCTCCTGTTGTAATCTCTACTAGATTGAAGTCTAGGATAAAAGACTGGTAACATAGTGAAGAAATAATACCATTTATGTGTGACCATGTAATCCGTTACAGCACTGATCTGCCTAAAATGTTCATGCAACTAGCATTTTTAATTGCTACAGATATTTTTGTTCTGCAATAACAGTAGTAAAGGAAGGGAAAGCAAGATGTAGATCTATGCCTTCTGTAAAAACCAATAGGAAATGGCTTGATATTTTGTGAAGAGAGGTCTCATGAAATATCACTCTGAAATTTTTATTATAAATGTGAAGACTGGTGAAGGAAACAAAGCTTGCAATATTCCATGGGAGTTTTAGAATGCTGGTGAGAAATAGCTGCTAAACACATGTACTAATGACCTCTAGAATTTAGGAAAGGAAATGTAATCAATTAATCAATCTTGCTTGTCCCCTAGGAAGGCCACAGCAAATCCCGGAAACCTGAAAGCACTAGTAGCTATAATTACAGGGTGGTAAAAGAGGTAAGATTCCTCCTTCCCCAAATGCCCATTTCCCTTGTCATCGTCTTCTTTCTATGAATTGAGGAAAGTTCTGAATGCATAGCAGGGAGCATTCCCTGTCTGAACATTCAGGGACCATTCCTTGCTTGATAGAAGGGAATAGGGTACCACTGAGTGCACAGAGCCCTGTTGACAGTCTGGAGTCTTTGCACACCTAAAGGGGTTGTCAGATCACAGCCTCTGGAGAGAGGTTCCCAGGGCAGAACCACTGATTGAATAGATGGGATATAAACTTGCTAAACAATAATACAGATGATAATTGGGTTTAACTAGATTTTTAAAATCTTAGTGCAGTACTGCATATAAAATTTAATGATCTACATAATATTTGCATTAACTTTGTGGTTTGCAAACTTTAAATCTAAACAGGCTTTCTATCAGAAAGAAACCTATGAAAAATTGACATAAATTCCTTGGATAAAATCAGCCCTGATATTATAATTCCAGGGTTATACTCAGGATGATGTGTATTTTGCCCCTCCCTGACCCCCAACAGTAATTCTGCAGTAAGAAAAAATGGATTCTATGAACAGTTAAAAATTAGGCAAATTAAACCACTTTGTCTAATACATTCTGCTTCTGCTAGTTATAAGAAGATGGCAAGGAGGAAGGTAGCAGGGTTGTACAGGGCAGTAAAGATCCTGTCCTTGCCCACTGGAATTCCTGCAAAGCTCATGAAAAGAGGTGAAATTGCACATCTGCATTACATCCTCAAGAGCTTGAAAATTAAAGCTGAGATACTGTGCCCCATGACAATTTCCATTCCTGCATGGTGCAATACACCCAGTTTTGATGTGTTTGCTGTGTGTTGTTGCATACAACATGGTGTATGTATTTTTGTATTTATGTCTATTTCACTCTTTGTTTGGTGGTGTTCTGTGAACTGTTCTGTTCAAGAGACTTTTCCCAGACTTTTTCCCCGGACAATTTGGAAGAGCATCAGCATATCATGAGGTTCTAAAAGGCATGTGTTTTTGCAGATTTTGCTTCGACTTAGCAAACTTTGTGTCCAAGAGAGTATCTTGGTCAGGAAGAGCCGAAAACAGCAGCAGAGGTTGCTCCGAAATATGGGAGCTCACACCGTGGTACTGGAGCTTTTACAAATCCCATATGAGAAAGTGAGGTTTGCATGCATCTATTACTTTACAATCTTCCACTAACATCATACACTATCCTTAGAAGCATCAAAAACGCTGCTATTAAATATTAATATCTTACAAAATAATGTATTTGTTAGATGTTAACTGAAATGGCTTTGTACATTAATTGTTAGCAAAACTTTCTCAATTGCAGAGTTGAGCAAACTAAAAACTCAGGATTATACCTTGTCCATTTGTTGACTTCTTGGTCATGTGGAAACAGATGTTTACAAGTTGTCCAGATCATCAGCTCTGAATTGTTGACATAGAGATCCTTCATAAATCAATATTTTTTCCTGCTTCCACCAATTACAGAAAGGCAAAACAAAGCTATGTGACTCAAATAATTATTTTCTAAACATATTCCCTCATAAAGATTTTATAGTACGATTGCACTGTGTCATTCAAGGAGGGGCCCAAATATTATGTCTTTCATTTATAATGCCCCCATGTTTTTCCACTACTACTACTATCTTTTTTCATACTAGAAAAGATCTGTGAAGGAGAATAAGATGGAAAAGCTGTAGTTTGCCTTTTAATTGGTAGCTCTAGGTACCTTCATTTTGAAAGTACCCATAATCACAGCAACAGACAGGTCTTTGAAGGAGACAATAAGAGAAGCAAAGTGTTACCTCATTTTCAGAATTATCAATCCAATTACGAGACAAATTGGCAGTTAAATAGAGGAACCCATGCCTGATGTAACATGCCTTTTCCTCCTCTCCTGAAGTTGCCTTTCTGAACTTGGAGGGTAGCTGGTCTTTTTTCATTGACTGTAAAGGGGCAGGGAAGGAGGGTCAGACCTTCCAAGGTCAGAATGCAGAATAGAGGGTCTGAACAATCCTTTGTTCTCTGGGACAATAGCCCAGGAGCCATAGGATTGTACTCTTCATTATACATATATATATGCGCACACACACATTGTCTAGGTAAATTGTGTGGAGCCCAGTAGTGATTTTTAAAATTTATTTATTTCTATACTGCCCAACAGCTGGAGCAGCCTGGACAGTTCACAAAGCACATTAAAGAAAAGATACATTGTATTAAAATATAGTAAAACATCATTAAAAGTTTACAGTTCGAATTTTAAATGACATATTAAACAGGTCAATATAACAACTTGAAGAAGAAAAAGAAGAAATGTTTTAAATCAATTTAAAAAGTTTTAGTTACAAGGTCTGTGGATGTTATCAATTATGCTTACTTCCCTATACTGATAGCTGGCTAAAGAGGATCACGCTTCATTGATGAACACACGACTGGTTCAGAATTGAATCATTTGTAGACTTTGGATCATCATGGTAGACTTTGTTTGCCATCATTTCAAAAGATGCAATTCATCAAATAATATGTCGTCAGTAAAGTGATCTGTGCTGATGTTTCCTGACATTTACAAAATGTGCCACCTTCAAAAGGGGCTTAGAAAGGAAGTTATTGTGTTGCATCACAGTTTATAATGTGATCATTTAAACAATAGAGAGCCTTGAAAAAATGTTTAGTTTGAAAAGTTTAGGTGTACAGTACCAAAATAGGCATTTGCTTATACCCCATGTAAGGAAATTTGACTTTCTTCATTCTGAAGCTTTAATTCATTCATTCTTGATCTTTTGGGGAATTTTTGTGTATTGTACTTAACAGGCTGAAGATACAAGGATGCAGGAGATCATGAAACTTGCCCATGAGTTTCTACAGAACTTTTGTGCTGGCAACCAACAGAACCAGGCTTTACTTCACAAGCACATAAATCTGTTTCTCAATCCTGGGGTAAGAGGTTGTTTAAGGAAATAGCACTTCTCTTTTTAGAGCAAGATGGAAGAGGCTGTCTTACTCTTTGCCCCAGACTTAGGAGCATAAACAGGAAGCTGGCCTGCGTTGAGTCAGACCATCTAAAACAGTATTGCTGACACTGATTAGCAGCAGCTCTACAGGGTTTCAGGCAGAACTTTTTACAGACTGGAGATACCGTGGATGACATCTATGGCTTCCTGTGTGCTATGTGTGTGACTTGTAACTAACAAGTCTTACCTTTTTCTTGTGCAAAATTTTGGGGTTGTATCTGGAGATGCATAGGAAGTCAACCCTTGAATGGGGCTTTCCTACCATATCTTTTTTAATGCAACCCTTGGCACCCTCCAAAATCCCTTTTCTGAGGGCTACTTCTACTTGGGTAAGCTGTTCCATCCAGTGTTTCCAATTTTCACCTCCTCTTCTGCAGCACATCTCAAACATTTCTTGACCGTCAGGAAAAGCTTTTGGGGACTAGACTTAAGGATGAGAGTGTGGGAAAGCTGCTTGGACAGCTTTGGTACAACCCCATTGGTTGCAACTTCTTGGTTGCAAGTCCATAATAAGATGGAAGGAATGAGATACATTGCAGCATACAGAGCAGGCCTGAAAAACTTATGCTCTTCCAACCATATGTAGCTCATCTGCTATATATGGTGTCCAGCTTGCTAAATTTCCTAGTTTTACTGTTCACCTGGGAGTGGTCAAGCACTAGGAAGGGTTGCTGATGGTTTCCATTTTGCTTAGTGTAGGCTTATTGTGGGCATTTAAATGTCCAAGAAACTTAAAGATATAAAGGAAAGGCTATTTGAAGTGCCATATCCCTGACCAAACCCACTGTCAGTCAGCTCATGTATAAGAACTTAGTTCACCAACACTAACTTTACTGTGCTGAAATCTATGTTATACCAAGGCTTTTCTTACATTGACACACTCTTTTTTTCCTCTTGCTGACTCTTCTACAGATCCTGGAGGCAGTGACAATGCAGCATATTTTCATGAATAATTTCCAGCTTTGCAGTGAGATTAATGAGAGAGTGGTTCAGCACTTTGTGCACTGCATCGAAACACATGGCAGGAATGTCCAGTACATTAAATTCCTACAGACAATTGTGAAGGCGGAAGGAAAGTTCATAAAAAAGTGTCAGGACATGGTCATGGCTGAGGTGAGAAAGCTACATATACATTACATGTTTGCAGGTATAAAGTCAATCTTAAGGAAATTCATGCAAAGAGAAACTGATCGCTTGACAGAAACCATAGAAAAAAGTGAGTCAGAAGGGGCCTCCTGGGCCATCTAGTCTGACTCCCAGCTCCAGCTGGCTCTGCTCATGACATGCCTACAATGCACATATCCAGCCTATCCTTGAACACCCTCACTGATTGGTCCTCAAGCACCTCCCTTGGAAGCCCATCCCATATCCTAGGGGTCTTAACCATCAGGAAGTACTTCTCAACATCCAACCTGAAGCCTGGTTCCTTGAGCTTTGCCCCATTGGAATGCATCCTGCCCTCCAGTGCAGGGAAGAACAGGTCACTCCTCCACATGACATCCCCTGACATACCTATAAGTTGCTGAAAGATCCCCTCAGAGTCTTCTCCAGGCTGAAAAGACCCAGTTCCCTCAATCTCAACTCATATGTCATCCCTCCCAACGCAGCTACCATTCTTGTAACCCTCTGCTTGCAGCTGCCTCCTCCCCACTACAAGCATGCCCGCGATCAAGCCAGTCTCTCCCCCCCCCCCCCCCCCCCCGCACGCCTGCAGTTTTCCTCTCTCTGTTCTTTGGTGGACTCATGTGTCTATTCTCTTGGCAGCTGGTCAATGCAGGGGAAGATGTCCTTGTGTTCTACAATGATAGAGCGTCTTTCCAAACATTAGTGCAGATGATGCGATCTGAAAGGGACAGGATGGATGAAAACAGTGCTCTGATGTATCATATCCATTTAGTAGAACTTCTGGCTGTTTGCACTGAGGGCAAAAATGTCTACACAGAAATCAAGTGCAACTCTCTCCTCCCTTTGGATGACATTGTTAGGGTTGTAACCCATGAAGATTGCATACCAGAGGTGAGAATCTATTTCATAGTAAACCTGAGTGTTAGCATCCTACTTGGCTGACTCTTGTATTTCAGACTTTCCCATTATCTACCATTATGGTGGGAGCTGAATTCAGGATTAATTCTTCACCCTATAACAAATGGCAAAATACAGGCTAGTTCTGGATGAAATGCAGGGCTACTTTTCTTAACCTCAGCATCAATTTCCTTTTATAATTTTCCTCTTCCTCATTTGCCACACTAAAATTGCTCATTTTTTGATTAACCAAAGCGCCTGTCTTTTTTTATCATGTGGATGTTGTTTGAACATGAAGGCTGACTTAAATGTGATACTCCATCATTATATTATTTTTAAGAACTGTGGTAAACTCCCCAGACAGCTTTGGCTATTGGGTGGTATAAATATGAAATACTGCTGCTGATGCAAATATCAGGTGTGGTCCCACTTAGGTCACTTGAAGATCACTACATGACATGCATGGAGGCTGAAATTGATAACTTGTGTTTGATGTGACCTACTTTTCTTGTACATGGTAGCCAAATAATATAGTTCTATTTATGCATCAGTTTTATTGTGGAGCGCGGAGTAGTTTTGTTGTTAATTTTGGAATTTAGTTTGTTTGAAGGACCTAAATAATAAAGCTGTCAGTTTTATTATTATGCTGAAGCCAAACACTTGTTTTCCCTAAAAAACATCTTCACTAAAATGCTCTAAAAACAGGATTTAGTCCTACTCACAGATGGCTATTATCAGAAGAACAGTTAACTTTATTGACTGATATAGGGTGACCAGACTTTACTGCTTTTTATTTTTTTCTATAGATAGGGGTAGGTCTGTTTGCTAATTTTCTTTTTCCTGCTTGCAGGTTAAAATTGCCTATATCAACTTTCTAAATCATTGCTATGTAGATACAGAAGTTGAAATGAAAGAGATTTATACAAGCAACCACATGTGGAAGCTATTTGAGAACTTCCTTGTTGATATCTGTAGGGTAAGTGTTTTCAGTACCTGGAAACATGGAGGATGGTGACTATTACATTACCTCCACCTTTTCTATTACATCGTTTGTTCTAAGCTTTGCAGGAACCAGTCATGGTGCTGAACTCTATCCCAAAATAGGATTCCATGAATACCTCCTATAAAGCTGCAGTGATTCTGCCTTAGGAGTCACCAGTTTTTCCCAGCTGGAAATATTAGAGTGATATTTCACAATATATACTCAATCTGCCTTTCACAGAACATCATATTGTGAAGAGCTGGAAAAATCATGTCCATTGGCTCAGTTTCATTTAAATTACTGCCTGTATTTCCATCCCTGTACAATTGTAAGGTTTGATGATGATAATGCTGCATGGCTGTAGTTGCATGGATAGAATTATGCACAGAATATCCATCTGTATATGTCCCTGAAAGCTCCCCTTAATGCTGATTTCAGACCCTGAAATGTTCCATAGTCTGTCCCACTCTTTGATTGCTGCTTGCTCTTGTTTCCTATAATCAAGTGTGTTATATCATCTTTGGCAAATATTAAGATTAGAAATATGTTTTTCTTTCTTTAGCCACAGTATTTTTCCATAAGTGGGAATGATTACCCTTACCATGTGGCAAAAAGTGATGTGCAAGTGGGGCTTCCTACAAAATGCTTCATTGAATCCTTATTCCTAAAGGAAGTTTGCTTTTGTAGGGTTCTATTCTGCTATTTCCTCTAAGTAGAATATTTGATTTCTCACACACACCCCATTTTCTCCTGCATTTTATTTTAAACTTTATGTTAACCAAGCATGTTCAGTCCTCAGTGGTATCCTGCCTTGGTTTTTTGCCCTAAAGAGAGAGCAAGTGCTTGCATGTCTGTGTGTGTACTCACTTGTGTGCATGTGTGTAGTCCTACAAAACTTAGTGAACCCATTCCAAGCATGATCTTGGTGGAAGTTGCCACCACAGTTCACTGTCTGAAAGAATGGTATTTGTGGGGAGGGGATTCTATTCAGGGTGTGGTATAATGCAATTATATTAGCACTTGTTAGGGAATTATAATTCTTGCATCAATTGTTTTTAAGGAGTTAATTGTTTTCCAGACTTGCAATAACACCAGTGATAGGAAGCATGCAGATTCTGTATTGGAGAAGTACGTGACTGAAATAGTTATGAGTATAGTTACTACTTTCTTCAGCTCCCCATTTTCAGATCAGAGTACAACTTTGCAGGTAAGAAACAAGGGGGGAAATAATATCCAGAAAGATTTTTTGTTCTAATATTTGTTTGAGCTGTGAAGCAGTATTAAAATTTTGCATCAAAATATAGCATCTAGTAAGAATTTGAAAGTGACCACTTCTTTTTATGCTGTTTCTCAGTGGTAATGCCTCTCACTGGTTTTTGCTAAGTAAAGTTTCTGCAGTACTTGCACAGTGACACAACCCTGCAGAAGTAAAGTTTCAATTGCTTCTGTCTGTCTTATTTCCCTAGGACTGTGTGCATGTGCGTTGACACTTGTGGAGAATTCCTGTCCTAATTTCTCCTTTTTCCCTCAGTGCTAAAACTGGCTGCCAGTCTGGCTGGCTTCTTTGTATGAGACAGGGAGCAGCTTGTCTTTCAGGTCTGGCGGGATTGTGCTGATTGAACACTAAAGGATTAGGGTCAGTATTAGCTGAACATAGGTGAAGCCTGTGTGCACATTAAATGGGCATTAACTCCTGAGCAATGACCTCTACACATAATCCATAAGGAATAACAAAGGGGGAAAGCCTCACTCCCCGCCCCCACATCCAAACCCATCCTGCTGCTCACTGTTCCAAGCACAACTGACTTGCCCATTTCTCCTCCTCCTAGGCAACTGTGAGGCCATCCGTCAGTCTCTGCCACAGTAACTGCAAATGGCTAGATCCAGTGACACACTAATAGTAGAGGAAACTTTCCAAGCATGTGTCATTAAGCGCTTTAATTAGTTTTTCACTTCCGTATGGCAGTAGTTGCACTCCCTCCCTCTCTCCCTCCCTCCCTCCTGCCCCTCTGCTGTAATTTTCATAATGAACAAGGGTGATGGAAGCCCAGCTCTGTCTTGGAAAGCACAAGTAGTTGGCCGTTGAGATTTTAGTTACATGCTGAGATGTGGAGTTTAGTGATAAAACTGCCTCTGCCCAAGGGCAAATGTGCAGGCTGTTTTTATACAGCAGTATCCAACTGTAACCTATACTTTATTATTGATCTCTTTATCCATTTGATATATGATAATGTAGAATGAAGTCTAGGCATTTGTGTTAGTTTTTCTGTCGTGCCGGACCCTGCACAATATTGCTATAGGCCAAGCACTAGACATTCTAATGCCTCAGCATTAGAGCAGTTTATTCTTTCTGGGCACATATGTTACCCCACCATTTTAATGTTTTTCTTTGAAGAGGCAACTTCCAAAGAACCTTAGATTTGGTTTTTGAAAACAGAAGCCTTTTCATGTTTCATTTAGAAAATGGATCTGAAACTGAGGGCAGCTTAGATGAGTTATGGTCATAACCCGGTGATTATGAATGTTCTTCCTTTTAAATTAAATTTTATTTTCTATAGATGAGCATACTTGCTTTTGCTAAGAGTGTCAGAAATATGGATGTAGACATTTTTGTATTGCTGTGAAATTAAATCTTCAGGCATCTCATGTTATTGTGGACATATGCCGATGACCTCAGAGTAGCAAATACATTATCTGCAAAACAGAAACCTAAGATATTTATTTATTTAAAACATTTCTATGCCGCCCCCATCGCAACAAAGCCTCGGGGCAGCTCACAAAGAATACATAAAAACATGCATAACTAATAATAATATAACAATTTAAAAGAAAAAAACACAACATTTTAAAAACCCCGGTGCATTCTCAGCTAAAAATGTTTAAATCCTAATTAATACAATAATTTAGCAATTAAAATAAGTTTTAAATAAAAAGGTCTTAGCCTGGCACCGAAAAACAAATAACGACGGTGCCAGGTGGACCTCTCTGGGGAGTGCATTCCATAAGTGGGGCACCACCACAGAGAAAGCCCTCCTCCGGGTACTCACCCTCCTAATATCATTCACAGAGGGTTCCCGGAGAAGGGCATCCATTGCTGATCTCAAGGGGTGGGAGGGAGTATATGGGCACAAACGTTCCTTTAGATATCCAGGTTCCAAGGACATTTAGGACAAGGCCCAAGTCCCCCATCCCGAGGCCCACTCCACCCACCAACAGGACCTCCGTCATGTTTGGATTGAGCTTCAGTTTATTGGCCCTCATCCAGCCCATTACCTTGGCCAGGCACCGGTTCAGCACAACCACTGCCTCACCTGGATTGGTGGAAAATGAGAGGTAGAGCTGGGTATCATCAGCGTACTGATGATTCCGCAGCCCACACCTCCTGATGACCTCTCCCAGCGGTTTCATGTAGATGTTAAATAGCAAAGGGGACAAAATGGACCCCTGCGGAACTCCATGGCATAACTGCCATGGCGCAGAGCCATAGTCCCCCAGGACCACCTTCTGAAATCGGCCATTGAGATAGGAGCAGAACCACTGCCACGCGGTGCCTCCAACTCCCAATCCCGCTAGCCTATTCAGAAGGATACCATGGTCGATGGTATCGAAAGCCGCTGAGAGGTCCAGGAGAACTAACAGGGACGCACTCCCCCTGTCTCTCTCCCTGCACAGGTCATCGTACAGGGCAACCAAGGCAGATTCAGTGCCATACCCGGGTCTGAAGCCGAACTGAAATGGGTCCAGAAAATCAGTTTCATTCAAGAGTGCTTGGAGTTGTCCCGCTACCACCCGCTCTAGCACCTTGCCTAGGAACGGGATGTTGGCCACCGGTGTATAATTGGCGGCCACCTCTGGATCCAGGAATGCCTTCTTTAGGACTGGCTGGACTACCGCCTCCTTTAAAGGGGCAGGTACCTGGCCGTCTCTTAAAGAGGCGTTGATCACCTCCAGAATCCAGGTCCCATTCCCGTCCTTGGCTTTCTTAAGTAGCCAAGATGGGCAAGGGTCCAGTAAGCAGGTGGTAGGACGTACTTGTCCAAGCACCTTGTCCACATCAACAGGCCACAACAACTGAAATTCATCCATTAATTGTGGACTCGATGGCATCGATGGGGCCTCCTCAGTAGAATCTGATTCAATAGCAGAGTCAAGCTCGTGGTGAATCTGAGCGATTTTCTCCCTGAAATGCTTGGCAAAGTTGTCACAGCGGGCCTTCGAGGGTGGCACAAGAACTTTCTTCGGTCCTGGATGTATCAGCCCCTGCACCACCTGAAAAAGCTCCACTGGATGGCATTGTGAGGAGGCAATGGAAACGGAGAAGAATTTCTTCTTCGCCATCCTCACTGCCACAGCATAGGCCCAATAATGGGCTCTTAAGTGTGTTCAGTCAGAATCACCCCGTGATCTCCTCCACCTACGCTCTAGACGTCTCCCAACCTGCTTCATCGCCCGTAATTCATCAAGATGAAGATGAACCAAGGAGATGAACAGGCTCTGCCAGGTGGGAGAGGACGCTTGGGAGTGATCGTGTCAATAGCCCTGGTCATCTCCTCATTCCACAGTTCAACCAGGGCATCGACAGGATCACCAGCCTTGTCAACCGGAAAATCCCCCAGAGCTTCCAGGAATCCATCAGGATCCATCCGGCTCCTGGGGCGGACCAATACAATCGGGTCCGCACCCTTGCAGAGGGAAAGGCCGCTCTCGAGCTCAAACCTTATGAGGAAGTGATCTGACCATGACAAGGGCGTCAAGCTTAAATTCCTCACCCTCAGATCACCCTCTTCCTGTCCCGTCGAGAAAACCAGGTCCAGAGTATGTCCACATTCATGGGTCGGGCCAATGACGTGTTGAGACAGCCCCATGGAGGCCGTGAAGTCCTTAGCAGCCCCAGTTAGAACCGTCTTGGCATGAAGATTGAAGTCCCCCAAGACCAACATCCTGGGAGTCTTCAACACCAGGTCCAAGACAATCTCCGTCAGCTCAGGCAGGGAGTCTGTTGGGCAGAAGGGTGCACGGTACACCAACAGAATTTATTTTTATTTTATTTATTTATTAGAACATTTCTATGCCGCCCCTTGCCGAAGCCTCGGGGCAGCTTACAACACAATAAAATACAAAAATAACAATATAAAATTAAAATTAACAATAGAAAATAAATAAAAAATATAAAATATAAATCCCCAATCTGTCTCAGTCACCCAACACCAAGTGGAGGCACTCCAGCCCCGGCCTCGAGAGGACAGGAAGCCCCACAAGGGAAATAGAAGCTCGATAAACCAGAGTGACCCCCCCTCCCCTCCCCTCCAGGCGTGGTCAGTGCTGGACCAGGTACCCGGGTGGGCACAATTGTGAGAGGGAAACATCCCCCCCCAACCCACCCTGGTTTCTGTGATGCATGCCAGGTCAGCCCTCTCATCCATGATCAAATCATGGATGAGTGTTGCCTTATTTTGGACCAACCTGGCATTAAGCAGCAGCACCGACAGGCCTGGAGGGCAGTTGACAAGTCTACCTGGAACCCGCCAGCTGGGGGAATAACCAGAAAGAAGGACAGGTGTTAACCATCTGCCCCTCCTTCTTCTATGCTGACCCGTTAGACCCCCAACGCCATAACACCCATTGCCCATCACTACCCCGATGGTGGCAGCCCCGCGCTCCCCAGGCAACATCATAATAAAGCACGAGATGCACCAATTAAAAACAATCTAAAACCAACAATTAAAACCATTAAAACATCTTACTGTCCTCCACCTAGACCACCACTAGCCCACAAATAAATAAAACCAAACCATGGCCAGAGCCCCTGGCCAGCCCAGCCCCCTGAACAGCGACCACCCTTAAGCCGTCACCCTTTGGCTGCTGGCCCAAGGCCGCCGCCGGTGCTTTGTGGCCCACAGGGCCCCTCCCCGTGCCCCAGCCCTTCCTGGCGCGTCTCTCACATGCGCCGGGAGAAGCAGGCCGAAGCAGGGTCCTTGGCCGGTGGTCCTGGGCTCTGCAGCAGGGCAGCGGCAGCAGCGGGCGGTGGAGCAGCGGCGGGGTCCGGGCGGCGAGGATGGAGGTGGGCCCGTCCAGTGGTTTGGTCAGATAAAGTTGGTCAGCTAGAATTGTGACCACCTGTGGATCTCAAGAAACCTCTCTCTGGGTGGTGGCGGTTTCTTAGAGCAGTGCTGCAGTATGAAACTGGGATAACCTAAGTTGCCCTGAAGAGTTCTAAGAAGGGTCATCTCCTGAGTGATCTACAGTTCCCTGTAAAACTCAAGGATAGGCTTTAAAGCCATTCGTGTCAGATTTTTCACTTGGAGATTTCTGTGGAAATTAAAATAATCCATGGAAGTATTTTAGAACTGGATCTGTAAACAGACCCTATGGAATTCTGATTCCTTTCACAAGTACACCTGGGAAAAAATGTTGTCTACATATACCAACATGGAAACATTGAGTGATGGCTTTAAAGCATAGTGACAAGTGTCAGATCACTCTCATATATAGCCTTCAAACTTCTTCAAAGTTAACTTCTGCCTTGGTTTGTCTGATAGTTTTGCTTGCTTACAGGAAACTATGGCTGTCATTTTCTTAGTCCAGATTTGATTAATCATAATGAGCATGCTCTTTCAAACTGTCTTTTCTTTTCTGTGATCCTTTCCCATTTTCTCCACGTAACAGAGAACAATCTTTGCCATACTAAAAGAGGTATTTTTACGTAGTTGCTAATCTGCTGTGTTGTTTGTATCAATGTCAGCGACTTTCATTAGCTAGTTGATGTAGAAAATAAATATGTAAATACTTTCCACTATTGGTAGGTTTGTCTTTGCAGTTCAAGAAAAAAACCCAGAATTTGTGAGTTACAACACAAAGAACTAATATTATGGGTTTGAACAATATTTGCAGTAGGCATATTTTGGCTTTATAGAATTCTTCATGTTCTCAGTGTAGTTGGCCTGTCCATAGTGGAAAAAAACTTGGAAAAATCTAGGGCTGAGATAAATTCCTGTTTTTCAGGTGTCCGTATTGGTTTGTTATGTTGCTTTCAAACTTGAAGCTAGAAATGGAAAAATCTATGGGTACTCAAGATCTATAAATATTGTTCCATAATGAACCAAATAAATATTAATAAAGTTAATTTGTACAAAAGTTGGCATTGATTTTCTTTATTCCTTTGCTGCATCTTGTTTAAATGTTAGTAACAATACAGAGCCACCTACTGGTAAATTGTAAATATCAGTTATTTTCCTGTTACAAAATTTTTGAAATTCCATTTACAGATCAGTCTTTTCTCCTCATTCTTTCCAAGACTCATGATTGTACTAGCACCTTCTAGCTCAGCTTGGTCCTCTGATTTAGTTGCAGTTGTGTGTGTATAGCCCAGAACCTTAAGATAGCTCTTGTTTATTAAGTGCCTCTGGTCTTCCAGACAAATTAGTTCATCGTTTTAGATCAACACAATACATCGGCAAACCCTTTAGTTCCCCCAGTTATAGGAAGAAACATTCTGATTCCTTTCTTTCCTGACCCCTTTCTCTTTAAACCTTATTTCTTATTTTAGACTCGTCAACCTGTATTTGTACAACTCTTGCAAGGTGTGTTCAGAGTGTACCACTGCAACTGGCTCATGCCTAGCCAGAAGGCGTCGGTGGAAAGCTGTATCAGAGTACTTTCAGATGTAGGTAAGAGAACAGTGTGTATGAGTGTTAAAATAAAATATATAAACAACTGTTGCCTGGTGTAGCATAGCACATCTTTCTGAGTGGTAATAAAACTTCATGTGGTGTCCACTAGATCTTCTTCCCTTTCCCTTATTGTATCCCTACTGCTTCAAGTTATCCTTTTTATAAAGACAATTTGTGGTGTTGATAAGATCATAGACCAGCTTCTGTGCATTCTCAAGCCTTGCTGATTTCCATAGTACAGGCAAATCTAGTGAAATATTATTATTATTAATTTTATTTCTATACCACCCCATAGCCAAAGCTCTCTTTGTGATTCATAGAAATATATCAAAATAATATAATAAAATGGATACAACAAAAATACAAATACAATAAAATATGAAATTCCAGTATGCAAAATGTAACACAGTTTAAGCAGAGCTCTGTGCTGAATAACCATATATAAAAGCTGTAATTAAACAAATAAGCATATTTTAAAATTCAATAAAATTAGATCTAACAGTTGATCTATGCTATTAAATGCCCAAGAGTAGAGGGCAGATTTTAACTAATGCTGAAAAGATGACATTATTGCTACCAGGCAGCCCATAGTGGGTTAATTGTTTCATAATTGGGAGGCCACGGCTGAGAAAGCCCTCCTCTTTTTTGAAACTTTCCAGACCATCCTTGGATCAGCCAGCTGTTTCCCCTCTTCTGATTGTTATTAGTCAGGATGGGCTAGGTTATTATGAAGTGGTTGCATGAACCTGTCCAAACACTTTGTCAGCATCTTCAAGCTGTACCAGTTGAAGCTCATTGAGTAAAACTAGACCGAGCTGTGCTCTGGCAACCTCACCAGATTCATCTGCTGTAATGTTGAAGTCCTGATAAATACAAGTGATTTTGTCCCGGAAGTACTCAGCAAGTAAGATACAGTTACCTCAGATGGGTCTATAACATCCTTAGGGTCAGCATATAGTAGGTTCCAGATAATCCTAAACATCTCTGTGGGACAACAAAGACAGAATAGAGACAGTGAAATTTTGTTTCTTTTCCATCCTTATTTGTCCCAAGTATACCTGCTTAGAGACACATACCAAGGTTTGATTGCATCCACTAGGAGTTCTCCGCCATTTGCATGCAAGCAGTCTTACTTTGTTTTGTCACTCTCAGCTCTGGGATATACCCCAAAGCTGTATGACCTGATAATATATTAGAACAGTCCCATGGTTTTCATGGAGATCATGAAGGCCTGAGCTGCCCCTGCAAAGGTCCCATCAGCATGAATGTTGATGTTCCCCAAAATGAACAGCCTGAAGAACCTCTGCATCACATCTGTGACCACTTCCACCTGTTCAGATACAGGGTCTGTTGAGCATGGGGTGGGTGGCACACTAACAGAATTCCTAATCTGTCTTGCTGACCCTGTGCAAGAAGCGAACACTCTAATCCAGGGAGTTCATAGAGCTAAACTGAATCCTTATAGACCATAGCAACCCCCCTCTTCCTGGCCCTCAAGTCTATCCCAGTGTTGAACCAGGTGTCTCTTTGAACAAAACTAAGAGAGGCTAACTCCTTGTTCACCCACTCAGCTCTTGGTTATACATGCCCAGTTGGATGACTCATTCACTACTAGATAGTGTATGCAAGAAGTCTTACACTGCATCAATCTGGCATTTAAGAGCAGCACCCAAAGACCTGATGGTGGGCTAATAGGGCAGCCATCCAACCTGCAGGTACAAGGAGTACTAGAACATGGCACAGTCAAGTTGCATTCCACTCACCTGGTTAGCTTGGCTTCCAATGACATATCTCCCTCTATCCATCACTATCCTGATGTGACTCCCCCAAGTTTCCCCCACTTGGTTGATATCTACCCTCCTAAGCAGACATTCAGGCACCGTGGTGGGAACAAACCTTGGTGGGGACCAAGGATCTAATTTCAAGGGTCTTCCCCAACAATCGGCAGGAAGATGCATTACATCCCCAGGAGTTGTTTCATAGAGAGAGACCAACAAGACAAGAGCCTTCCAGCTCATGTTGCAGCTAGAGAACTAGAGGCTGATATACTTGCAGGAAGTGGACAGAAACAAACACTTAGTGCTGGTCTCCAGCTGGCTTCCCTCAAGTTTTCATCAAACACAGCAACCACTCTACTATTTTCACAACTAAGCAATGCAGTGTTCTGCAGTTTTTTTTCTAGGTTATCTTGAGCTGTGGTTGACAAAGGGAGTCATCTTGACTAACGGGGAGTAGAGAAATTAATCAATTAAATAATAGGTGGGCTTGAAGTGGGCATTTGGAACATAAGTCACTAAAGAAGTCCTGAAGTTCCCCTGACAAGTGCTTTATTCATATGAAGGAAGAAGCAAATAAGCACAGTTTCTAACACATTCAAAAACTATGCCCCACCTGAGATACCCTCCATGTTTAGACACCTGTTCACTAGGCATTTTTATTAGCAGTAACTCAGCAAGGCTGCTTTGTCTGTATTGGTTAATAATGGATGTTCCTTTTAGAGCAACGTTTCTCTTCCCAGTGAATACTGTTATAGTGTCCTACAGTACGGATGAACAAAACTCCTTCTTTCTGCTCACACTTTTGGTTGCTTACATGCTTATTTTGAAAATCCGTGCAATGGATTGAACTTCTATGCAGTTTCCAATGTGTGCGTGTTTGTTTATTAAATTGCAACTGAATCCACAAGCACTCACTTGAGAACCTGATGGTTTAAAGCAGTTACATGTTTTCTGTTTGAAGTAGTATAGACTTTGGTGGGGACATGGGTATAAGCTACAGCCTGAAATAATGTTCAAGCTCTACCTTTAATCATTCAAAGCTGAGTACTGCTCTGTACTGTGGATGCACTGAACTGGCCTAAAACTGCATTATGTTCATTACTGTGCACATGAGTGTTAGGATATGAAATTCAGAAATAGGAAGACATTTCTATTGTCCTTAGACATTTCTAAGGAGGGGCCTATTCTCTGTATTCTTTGGTGTTTTACAAAAGCTTCATATATTGAATTTTGGTTTCTGACAAAAATGGCAATCACATTTGCAAACCTGGAATACTTTTCCATCAGTTGTAATGTGTGCAAATCATTTTACATTCCTAATCTTATAGTTGTCCCTGCCACAAGATATTCTGTTTACAGTCAAAGGTACCTATTTTTCTGTATATTGATCTGTATTGTACATAAATGTTTGTATCTTGTAATTTTGTTTTTTTAACATGGATGCAACTTGTTGTAGTATATTTTGATTTCCATCTGATCAGTAAGAACAGCACCTTGTGGACAGAAAACTTCTGAAATGCACATTGCATGAAATGCTGATAAAGGAGACATGTATCTGTTTCAGCAAAGAGCAGAGCAATCGCTATCCCAGTTGACCTCGACAGCCAAGTCAACAACCTCTTCCTGAAATCCCATAACATAGTGCAAAAAACAGCAATGAACTGGAGGATGACAGCAAGGAACGCAGCTCGAAGAGATTCTGTGATGGCTGCTTCGAGGGATTATCGTAACATCATTGAGAGATTGCAGGTGAGTATATAGTACAATATCTGTGTTGAAAAGTTTGGGATATATATGAGGAAAGAGAATATCACTTGGTCAGAGATTGTTCAAGATAATGTGCTTTTTATAATGACACTGCATACTTTACAGGACTATGTTCTGCACAGTGAGGATCATATTTATGCTTAATTCAGGTGTCGCAATTATAAGGCAGTTATAGGAAAATCAGACAAAACAGAGATGCCACTCCACAGAAGCTGTGTTATTGTAGTGGTAACCTTCTTCAGCAGCACAACATGACTTGCAAAGTATGAACCATCAGATTGTAAGGAATTTCAAAAGTCAGTAATTCAAGTGGGAGCTGTACCTAAATGTTGTAGCAGGAATTTGCCTGTTTGGGGCTGAAGTCAGCCATGCCTTCCTCTTCCAGGGTACTCCATTCATTCCCTTACCTGTCCCCCGTCCCCCCCCATCCTCCCCACCAACAGCCAGTCAGCATTTTTGCTTAGTCTTCCTTGGGCCTATGTATGTGTGTGCACACTTACTTCCCCTTTTGGCTTTCTAAAGGATTTTTTGTACTTCTGCAAACTTTGAGGTTCCTTCAAGTTTGCTGTTATCTCCCTCGTGAACATGGATAGTGCCATAAAGAATATACGAAGAGCTGTGCTGGATCAGACCATGTCCTTTCTAGTCCAGGTTTCTGTTCCACGGTGACCAACCAGATGCCTGTGGGGATCCAGTAGCTGGGCATGAGCACAATAGCACCCCCTGCTCAAGTTTCCTAGCAACTGGTTTTGAGAGGCATACTGATACTGGAGGTAATATAAAGCTATCATAACTAGTAGATACTGATCACCTTAACTTCCGTGAATGTAGCTAATCCCCATTTTGGTTATATAAGGTTCAGCACTAAAAATTAGTTTGCTATTAGTGTCAAGCAAGTTGTTATTTTCTTGAAAGAGACTGCTCTTCATAATTTAATTAAAAAAACCCCTTTGCAGTATAATTCTACAGCTATTGATATAAAAATGGAAGTACTATAAATAAAACTCTAGTAACATTATATGTTGTAACCACTCGGTGTTTTGTAATCTCTTTTTAACTACATATACTAACAATAAGAAAGAGAGCATGAACATTCTGTATGAAGTCTGGCAGTCTCTGAAAGTTTGCATTATACTGTTGGAAAGACCCAGCATTTCCAACAGCAGATTCTGCTTTTACCTAAAGAGCTATTTATTATGTATTAAGCTAGTGGAATAAGCAGCAAACTTGTACTCTCTTCCTCCACCTTCCCTGCTTTTATATGCACTTCAGGATATTGTGTCAGCTTTGGAAGATCGCTTACGTCCACTTGTCCAAGCAGAATTATCTGTATTGGTGGATGTCCTTCATAGACCAGAGCTTCTCTTCCCAGAGAATACAGATGCAAGAAGGAAATGTGAAAGTGGAGGTTTTATTTGCAAGTAAGTGGAAGCGTTGTGTCTACTTAAAGCTTTTCCAATAATTTTGGTCTCTATTTTATAGATTTCAATATCAGTTCTAGAATTCAATCTTAGATTTTACTGTTAATCGTCTAGATTTTAATCTCAGTTGTTCGCAGCTCATTAGCAGCTTTCCACATGGATCAGCCTGTCACTGATGTAATTATTTACAAGTTATGAGTACAGGCAACCATTGTATGGCTAGAGTAGAATATAATGTACTGCTTGGGCTTTAATGAGGACATATTTAATGTCTGTACTATTTAGTAGATTTCAAGGAACCTGTGTAGAACAATGATAAATAGCCCTTTGCTCCTATTTCCTAATTTCCATACTCCTTTCCCTATTGTTTTTTGAGGAAAAACCAGATTTTCCCTGAAGGGAGAACTAGATGTTTTGGCACAGCCATACATATTTATTTATTTATTTATTTATTTATCGATTTATATCCTGCCTTTTTCCTACAAAGGGCTCAAGGCAGCTTACATCTCCTCCTCCATCTTATCCCCACAACAACAACCCTGTGAGGTAGGTTGGGCTGAGAGCCTGTGACTGGCCCAAAGTCACCCAGTCGGCTCCATGGCCAAGTGGGGACTAGAACCCAGATCGCCTGAGTCCCAGTCCCATGCTCTTAACCACTACGCCACACTGGCTCTCATATCTGGTAACACCTAGTTTTGTCCGAGATGTGAAGCCAATAGCCAAGCCAGAAGGTTTGCTTTGCAGTTGTATATTTCAGAGTTTGCTTTGTTCCTCATTTCAAGGCTAATTACCCTGAAATATTTTTAGATCATAAAAAATAATTGTGTTTTTGTTGTTTCTGAACACTACTCCAGAGTCACTCTGCAGTTTGAAATATCTTACAAACAGTGTAATTTCATAAATTTAGTTTCTTTATATTTTATTTGAGCAGCCTTTGTCTTCTCAGTGCGAATCTCATTTCACTTGAAAGCCTTCCATAAAAAAGAGTTATGGAGTGAAAGTCTCTTACCGTTTCACATCTATCACTAGTAAAAGAATACAGAAGCATGTGACATATGCTACTCCGTTGAATGACTTGGTCTTTCTGATGTTTGACATAACTATCCACAAATGTTCTTCGTCATGGCCTCTGTGCATCACACATATGGGGTGCTGCGCCTGCGCAGTGCCTAGGCCGGAAGATTAGAAAGCTAACGGTTTTTGGTGGGAAAACTCCGCTCCCCTCCCCTTCCATAGTATAAATAGAGCGGAGTGTCTGCCATTTTACTCAGTCTCTGCGACCACCATTCGCTGTGCCTCGTGCCTGTTTGTCTCTCGCTTAGATTCTGCCTCGTGTTCGTTCTACGGTTCTTATACCTACCTTGTTATATTCCAAGTTTTTCTCTTTCCCATATTACAATATTTCTTCTTTTTCTCTAAAAACAACAACAAAAAACAGAAATATTATTCTTTACCCTCTGCACTATCTTCTTCTTTCCTTTTCGCAATGACACAGCGAGGGGCATTTCTCAAATGTATCGAGTGCGGCTCCAAGATGTCCGCAGCAGACCCGCATGATCTATGTCTCCTCTGCCTCGGCGAGGGGCATAGAACCGATAAGTGCGGCCATTGCTTGGCCTTCACCAAGCAGGCCAAAGAAAATAGGGAGAACCATCTCCGCAAGCTACTCTGGGACCAGGCCTTGATGCAATCAGACCAGTTGATCCTAAGGCCTGGCTCCTCTTCGACCCCGCCTCTTCAGCGCTCTGCCTTGGCTGCGCTCCCGAAGCGCCCTTCCTCGGCCTCAGCCTCACCTCCACAGCGTCCTTTGGATGAAGGCACTACTCCAATGGAGGCCCAGCAGCTACCTTCTCCCCTGACTAATCAATGGGAGAAATGTAAGCACACCGAGTCTGATAAGTCCTCGGGGCACAAGAAACCGAGGAAAGATAAGGCGAGCAAGCCAGCCTGTAAGGGCAAAAAACCCGATCACCCCAAACACAAGGGTTCGGGTTCGTTCAGATTCTCGGTACCGACCGCCACAATGGTACCGACTCCCTCGGGACCGGCCCTGCAGTCAGCGATGCAGGTGACTCCACCAGGATCCCCCAGGCAAATTGTTTGGCCTGAGAGCGTGTCTCCTCCACAACTGGAGGCGCCGCTTAGGAAGTCGATCTCAGATGGAGAGGTCAGAGACTCCCCACCGAGGGAGCGCTCTCTGACCCCGATGCCTACAGCCGGGCCACCTGCGAAATCTCCGTCGCCACCTGGACATCGAAGCCGTTCTGCTGACCGTCAAGCCGAGGACCGGCCAATGCCTGGCTATGGTGGTTTCTCAGGTTGGGGAGAATACCACCCATTTGGCTACTACCCACGGGACCGTCAGTCACCACCGGTCCCGAGGGAGGTGCCGTCTGCTTCGGGGCGTGCGGAGAGGAGGCGTCCAACATCTCCGGAGACCTCCTCTTCCAGCGAGCACTACCGCTATCAGGAAGACTCCAATGGGTCGGAAGTGGACTCCACGTCTCCCGATGTGGCCATAACCTCCCAGGGCCCTGGGTCTCTGGACAAGCCCCATGTTACCTTCGGGGAGCTCGTCTCTCACCTAGTTCAGTCGCTGGAGATCGAGGCCCACCATCGCCCCCGTCCCAGCATCGATAGATTTTATGACATTGTCCAGGGCAAGCAGTCTGCAGCCATAGCCTTGCCGCTCATTACTACCCTCCGCCAAGCGACGGTCCAGCCCTGGGACCAACCGGCTCAACCACAGGCTACGTCTCGTTGATACGAAGCCATGTACTGGGTTCGGGAGGAAGACATACCGTTCCTGCTACGTCACCTGAAGCCAAACTCGGTGGTGGTTGAGTCCTCCCAGAGTCGAGGGGTCACATAGCCCCTCGCGATAAGGAAGGGAGGAGGATCGATATGCTTGCGCTCCAGGTCTATGCGGCCTCTGGGCTTGGCCTACGCATATCAAATTAGGAAGTGACACTGGTGCGTTACCAGTACGTCATAATGCAAAAGCTGGAGAACATCGCCTCCTCCCTTCCGGACCATCAAGCAGACCTGGCCAGAGTGTTCATAAAGGAGGCAATGCAGGTGGCAATACAACAACTTTCCACTGCAAGACATCATGTGGACACTGACTCTAGGGCCCTGGTCAGTGCCATTTCCCTTCGATGGCATGCGTGGCTAAGGAATTGTAATTTCCCTGAGGAAATGAAGAGGAGAATAGAAGAAATGCTGTTTGATGGTACCGGTCTGTTTCATGCAAAGACCGACCATAAGCTCAAGTTGATCCACGAATCATGCATGACAGCGCGTCGCATGGAGCTTCCACAGCAGAAACGTAAGTGGTCGTTGTCCCGACCTTCCGGACCTCAGCAGTACCAACCCCGCCAAAAATATCAGCAAAGGCAGCAACGTAGAAGGCAGCAGCCACAACAACGCTTCTCTCAGGGCTGTCGGTGTTTCGATACTGAGAAGCGTCCTCGTTGACCGTCCCGGCGGACCATTCCATCTCTCCATTCCCCACCTTCCCCTCTTCCTTTTGGGGGCCGGCTCCAAAGCTGACTCCCCATTTGGGAGTCCATTACATCTGATAGGTGGGTGTTGTCCATCATTCAGTTCGGATATAGGATAGAATTCAACATCGTTCCTCCGTCGAGCCCGATCTGATTTACACCTTGCTCTTCGGTACTATGTGACAAAGTCTATCAGCTACTTCGTAAAGGAGCAGTTCGATAACTCTCTCACTCTGAAGGGCTACACGGGTTCTATTCGAGATATTTTATGGTCCCGAAACAGGATGGTGGTCTTTGTTCTATCCTGGACTTGTGAGATGTTAACAGGTACATCAAACCTAGAAAGTTTCTGATGACCACCTTACAAAATATCCTTCCATTGCTGAGGAGAGAGGACTGGTTGGCCTCACTGGACTTGAAGGATGCATATTTCCATATCTCAATTCATCCTTCTCACAGACGCTTTCTACGTTTCACTGTCAGATCTGATATATTCAAATTCAACATCCTGCCATTTGGTCTCGCCACGGCTCCGAGAGTCTTTACAAAGTGTATGGCTCTGGTGTACGTATAACTGCAGCTTCAGCATGTACAAATATACCCATACTTGGATGATTGGTTGATTGTGTCCCAGTCTAGAGACAGTCTCCTGTCGGCTGTACACGAAACTTGTGCTTTGCTTGACAATCTTGGACTTTGCATTAACTGCGAGAAATCATCCTTTATTCCTACACAGGTCATCGATTTCATCGGAGCACATATTGACTCTACAGAGGGCATTTCTTCCTCTGAACCGTCAAGACACTCTTTGTATGCATATCCATCGGATTCGACAGGACAGGACTGTACAGGCCGTCACTATACAGAGACTTTTGGGGCACATGGCTGCTGCAGTTGCCACCGTACCATACCCCAGACTCTGACTTCGGACCCTACAGTTGTTTTTCAACAAGTCGTTTCATCTGCAGTGGGACCTACCAAGCAAGTTAATTCGGATTCCGTGGTCGATCCTCCATACCCTGACATGGTGGACTGCTCTAGACAATCTGTCTATTGGCGTACCATTCTGACCCCCCCAACCTTCAGTGACATTGTGCACCGATGTGTCCCTCATCAGGTGGGGTGTGGCATGTACAGGACTTCGGGTTCAAGGGGCTTGGAACTGACGGGAAGCAAAGAAGCATATCAACTTCCTCGAACTCTTGACAATTTTCAACGCTCTCAAATCTTTTGAAACTGTCCTACAGCGTCAAGTTGTCCAAATTACTTCCGACAACATCGCTGCTGTTTTTGACATCAACAAGCAGGGCGGGACAAGGTCACCTGCACTGGCTCAACTATCGATGGAAATTTGGGATTGGTGTATCCCAAGGGACATACTGCTACTGGCGGTTCACCTTGCAGGGACCAACAATGTAGAAGCAGATACACTGAGCAGACAAATGTCTACAACCCATGAGTGGGTGTTAGACTGACAGCATTGTGACCAACTCTTCCATCTATGGGGGTACCTGGACATGGACTTGTTCGCTACCTGAGAGAACAGGGTATGTGAGCTGTTTTGTTTGGGAGTGGGTATCGGACCGGGATCGACAGGGGATGCCCTTATGATCCCTTGGAACAACATGACTTTCTACGCTTTCCCTCCAATTCCACTCTTGATGAGGGTTGTATTGAAGATAGTTCAAGACAACGCTATGGGGATATTAATAACTCCGTGGTGGCCGAGGCAACCTTGGTTCACCACTCTCCTCGTTCCTGTCCAAGGGTGTATTTCTTCGGCTGCCAACGATTTCTCATCTATTAACACAGTACAATGGAGTGATCCGACACCTGGACTTGACTTCTTTGAAGCTGACGGCTTGCCACATCCATTAAGTCTAACTGCTGAATTGGTCCCGACTACATCTCGAACACTGGAAGACGCGGCTCAACAGACTGTACAACTGAACCCTTCCTTGGACTTGATACGAATCGTGCTGGGACCGACAGCCTTGGATTCAGATATCCCAGCGATTCTTGAATCTGCTCTAAGGCAGTCAACGTATCGATCTTATGTGGCGAAATGGAGAAGATTCTCATCTTTTGCCGAGTGCCATTCTTTTTTTCCGGGATTGGCCTCTATTGAGAACATTTTACAATTTTTCTTTGAATTGCACCGTTTGGGACTTAAACCATCATCTATAAAGGTTTACGCTGCTGCCATTTCACATTACCGTGGCAATGTGCAGGGCTCATCTGTTTTCTCCCAACCTATGGTTCGACGTTTTATTAAGAGACTGCAGAACCTTCACCCATCCGTTCATCCTGTTATGCCAACATGGAGCCTTTCCGTAGTACCCCAAGCGCTTACAAGGTCCCCATTTGAACCTTGGGCGACTGCTGATCTATGCCTACTATCATGGAAGACTGCTTTCCTTGTAGCCATCACTTCAGCCCGAAGAGCTAATGAACTTTGTGCTCTTTGAATAGATCCACCGTACTTGAATTTTCATAAAAGGTCATTCTTCGAATGGATTCAGCGTTCCTACCTAAGGTGGCTACATCGTTTCATATGAAACAGGAGATTATCTTACCTGCGTTCTTCCCATCGCCATCGAATCCGATTGATAGATCTCTTCACACTCTCGATGGTCGACACTGCTTGGCTTTTTACAGATCTCGCACAGAATCCTTCAGTAGCTCTAATAGACTCTTCGTTAAATATTCTGACCATGACAAGGGCTCGCCGGTCACGTCTCAGAGGCTGTCTAAATGGATCATTCAGACTATAGTTTTGGCATATCAATTAGCAAAGATAGACTTACCTGCGCTTCCAAGGGGTCATTCTATGTGAGCAGTAGCGGCTTCATTGGCTTTTGCAGCGGGAGTTCCGATCCAGGATATCTGCAGAGCTGCAACCTGGGCTGCTCCATGTACTTTCGCCAAGCATTATTAGCTTGATGTGCGTGCCAGACAGGATTGCTCCTTTGGTAGAGCAGTTCTCTCGGCTATTCTTTATTGACGACACCTCCCTCCTCCGAGTCTGGTAAGCTTGCTAATCACCCATATGTGTGATGCACAGAGGCTACGATGAAGAAAAGCAGGTTGCTTACCTGTAACCGATGTTCTTCGAGTGGCCATCTGTGCATTCACACAAGCCACCCGCCGGCCCCGCTTGGTGTCGGTGAGTGGAAATGTTCTACATCAGTACCATACTTAAATATTTAGCATACCGATGATGCTTCTGTGATATCATCTTCAACCTCAAGGGGGCAAACGTTCGGTCTTCAAGACTGAGTAAAATGGCGGACACTCCGCTCTATTTATACTATGGAGGGGGAGGGGAGCGGAGTTTTCCCGCCAAAAACCGTTAGCTTTCTAGTCTTCCGGCCTAAGCACTGCGCAGGCGCAGCACCTATATGTGTGAATGCACAGATGGCCACTCAAAGAACATCAGTTACAGGTAAGCAACCTGCTTCTCTCCTAATTTATTAGAAACTCTAGAATTGAAACAGATTGTGATCAATTGGTTGTTTTCAGGTTAATTAAACACACTAAACAGCTGCTGGAAGAGAATGAGGAGAAACTTTGTATTAAAGTATTACAGACACTCAGGGAGATGATGACCAAAGACAGAGGCTATGGAGAGAAGGTACATTAATTTAAAGTCTACTGTTATGTTTTTATTCTATTATATCTTTATTATTTCAGAATGGTAAAAGAAACAGCAGAAACGAATCCTTAGATTTGTTGTACTTCCTGCATTTTAAAAAATAAGTCTAAAACATTGAGCTAGGCAGTTGAATTATCTTCCCAGTATATTAAGGACATGTAGTGGTTGTACTTGTATTTTTCTCCACTATTGAGAACCACTGACAAACCCTTTACTTGGTCTTTTAAAAGAAAGTCAAGGAAAAGAGACAACTAATTCTTCAGGGGTTCTCTTCCAAGCATTCTACTGTCTTCACAGTTCAGTTTACTTCCCACTGTATAAATAAATGCTGAAGAGATTTGTGGGTCTGTTGGAATAGGATAACTGATACTAGATGTTAGATTATCTAACCATGCTGTCTCTTGGGAACTGAACTGGCACACAATTTAATTATATTTGCTTAATGACAAACTCCTTGTATTTGAAAACAAAATTCATTTAACTCTTAAGGGGATGGTAATCCTAAATGTGCCAAAAGGCCTTCTCAATTCAGACTTGAATAAGAAATTCAGAAGCTCATAAAAGTCCAGCACAAATGACAGATGGGATCTTAAAGTGACAAAATCCATCTCCAACTCAGATAAAAATTTCAGGTAGAGGAGAACCCCAAGATTCTTCTTGCCAACCTTCAACAGTCTCCAAAGTCCTCTGTGACAGAAATACTCCCTCCTTTCCTTTACTTACCTATTGAACTGCAAAGGAATTCAGGGTAGAGATCAGCAGGACATATTTTTCCTTTCCTCCCTCTTCCTTGCTACCCAGTGCAATGGGACACAAATGTCAAAGGATAATGCAAGAGGAAATTTCCCATGGAGCTGATCTAATTGCAACATATTTTGAAGAACTACATGTCCATGGTTCCGTGGGCTTTGTACTCCATCATGTTACCACCAAGAGCAGCCTTCCCCAACCTTGTGCCTTCCAGACACATTTGGACTGCAATACCCAGAATTCCTAGTCAAAGGCCCTGCTGGATAGGAATTCTGAGAGTTGCAGTCCAAATGCCTCAGAAGGTCACCAGGTTGGGAAAGGCTGACCTAGAGCAAGGGTGGGCATCCTGTAACCCTCAGCCTAATATGATGCATGCGGTTCAGATCTATGGCAAAAACAATCTGTGCCTTTTATAGCAGCCCACTGGGCAGGAAGGAAGTATCAGGGGAGTAGAGAGAGAAAAGGTAGCAAATGATAGAAAGGAAAAAAATGGAGGTGGTGGAAAGAGAAAAGGACTATTCTACTCAGTTTTGGCTCTGATCCTGCCCACTGCTGGCTTCAGTTCAATTTGCCATCTGCATATCACCCGAAAAAGTTCACCCACAAGGGAAGGGAAACAGTTGAAAGAGTTTTGTACAACTTCAGCAGCTGGTAGGAGCATTTCGCAAAGCAGATTGGCTTGGGAAAAAGTTATCTAGGTTCTTCCAAATTTTTCAAAAGAACTTGGATGAGAAACCCATGACAGGTATAGTGCATGGGTGGAAAACATGTAGCTGTCCAGATGTTGTCTGAACTGTAACCCGCAATATCCCAAGCCAACAGAGCCAATGGTAATAGTAATTGCAGTCCAACTTCTGGAGGGCATGCATTCCTTATCCCTGGATCAGATTATCTCCTTCACATTCTCCATGAAGAGGTATAGAATATTCTGCTTCACAGGTATAGCTTACAACAATGGAAGAAAAAGTTATATGTTCCATATATAGTGTTGAAATTGCATCTAGAAGAATGGCAGGAAAATAAAAAAGTAAAAAACATGAAGAGATAATTGTTTGTTGCATTGAAAAGTCTTTGTCCTTGATCCGTCGGTTAACGGTTAAAGAATGTATTGAAGTGAGTAGGACGAAGGAACTTTTTTGTTGTCTGGGTCTGCAGTGCTGTCTTTCTGTAAACCCCAAGGCTGTTATCAAGATCACTCTGACATTGCCAGGCTACATTCTGTAAGGGTCCTGTAGAGATTGTTCCCTGGATACAGGGAACATGTGGCAGGTGCAGCTGCTCATCAGTCTGCAAGTGTACTTACACATCACAAAGGGTTCCCAAAGCAGCTCTGCGTGTGTGCGTGTGTTTGTGTGTGTGCATGCATGGGGGGCAAGCTAATAGGGTGCTAACATGGCCCAGTTTTGGTTGTTCACAGAAGAGGGTTCACAACATTTACCTACTTGACAAGTAATCTTTGGGAGCACATGATGCTGGCCACTTCCCTATGGCCAAATACCCTATATTTTAAATGGATTTTTTGCGCTTTTCTTTGGAAACTGTTGAGCAGAAGAAGAATTACAAAATCAACTAAGGAAGGATATACCCACTTATTTTTCTTTTCTTGTGTGTGTGCGGGGGGGGGGGGGGGGGGGGCGTCCATATCCTCACCACTTGAAAGGCTTACAAGTGCCAGTCTGATGGTTTTTTGTGCACAGAAGCTTGGAGCCCAAAGGAAGCTGTTGCTCAAAGCCCAAAGGGAATGATAATCGCTCTCTAGACTGAGAGCTTATTTAGCTACTAGAGGTGCCATCCCTTCCTGTGTCTCAGCAGGCCCAGACCAAAGAGTCACCTAGTGAGCTTCCCTGTCCTCCAAGTGGAGTCACGTGAATGGCAGTATTGTGCAGGAAGCTAGGCACTTGGTTGACAGCTTTCAAGGCCTTGCCTCTGCTCCTGTTGCTCTTAGGGTGGCATGATAGGAACTTGAGATCCAGCCAGGAGTTTAGATAAGTGCTGTGGAAAGCTCTGGTCTTGCAACTAGACTGTAGCGATTCAAATGCTTTATAGGAGCAGTGGATTCATCAGGGTCACTAGTACAGCTGGGTTTTGTTCCCATGCTTCTCTGAAGATATTTGGGCAAGACCTGAACCCAATATCTTTCTGGACTCCTCAACAATTTATCTTGGGCTGGATTCTTGTGCAAGCATGGGGCTTTACCTCTTAGCAAGAACATTCTGTTTCTTTTGCATTTATTTATTATTACATTTCTAATCTGTCCAATAACTAAAGTTCTTTGGGTGGATTTCAAAATAGCTAAAATGCTATAGAAACAGCTACAAATATAAAGCAATTAGAAATATTTAGAAGAATAAAATAGAATACAAATTTAACCCCTGTACATATTTGAAAACCTAAAGAAGAGTCCATCCTTCCTAGAAGTGGGACCTGGAGCTATAGGATTAGTTGAACAAATGGGGAAATTGTACAATATGAGTCAATTTCTGAGGTCCAAAGCCTTTCTTTTCCTGCTTTTAACCCATCAATCCATATATTCTCTAAAATTTCAGTAGAGAACTGTGCTACCTTAGGCTGCTCTAGCTACCACAGAAAGGCTTCAACATCATGTCTGCCCTGGCTTCCCATTTGGGCCTCCTAACCTGCCCTTCTCTTGGACTCAGGGAGGAGAGGGTTCTTCCTGCAGCTCCGCTTTGTCTGCCAGAAGTGCAGCAAAGTCCTGAGCTGTTTGATCCTCAGCTTCCCTCTCACTTCACCTCTCTCATATACAAGGCTGCAACAAACAACACAGTCTTCTGTGACTTCCCTAGCTGCTGACAAGAACCTCACCACCTGTTCTCCCCAGCTTCCACCCTGCAGAAAAAGCCTCTGACGAAGTCCATATTATGTTGAAACTGGCCAGCTAGGCTGGTTTTGTGATATAAAAATTGAGTGTCACAGTAGTACCTAACAAAAGACAACAGTGAAATTATAATACTAGCTATTAATATCTAGCCATGTATACTATCAGCTTGATGATGCTAAGTTGATTCCGAACTGTCTATGTCTTCTCTGTCCCCAACTTAAAGGAATTGTCTCCATCTTCAGAGTAGTTCATGCAGCTTGTGGGCCAATCAGCAGGAAGGCCTAATCCTACTTGGTTGGTCTGCCCATTTGATCTGAAGCTGCGTGATTGGACTAAAAATGTTGAATCCACCTCCATCTACACCTGCCTATTCAGCAGGATTTCCCACAGAAGAAAGGGTGATTTGGTTCTCACTGGCCTCTTGGCTTACCTTTGTGGCTACTGGACTTGATTTTTCAGCCAAGAATTCCAATTTTGCCTTTTTCAATTCTGATTCGGCCTTGAAGGCTGTATTTGAGGGAAGTGGCCCTGGTCCCTATAAAAAGATTCTGTAGATGGGATTACATCTTTTGATCACAGCAGCAAAACTGCAGCTTGTCCTCTCTTGCTTGTGGCTCTGAAGGAATTTATAAATCCTGAAAGGGGACAATAACTATCATCCTGCCCCATTGTGGTTATTTTTGTATCTCTTGGTTCTTAAGATAAAAAAGAGAAGCAGCATCCAACTCAGCCTCACATGTGTGAGAAGGGCTTGATAGCTGCACCCATTCTTCAAAGGGAGATGATACTATTCCATGAGGTGGCTAGATCCTTGATGTGCTATATTAACAGTTAACAATTTATTCAATGCCCAACATGACTTCATTGTAACATAAATGTATTGTTCCTTCTGTTTTGTGTAAATTTGGCCAGCTACTTGCCTTCTTGAATTTATTTAAAAATGGCCATCCATGCATTCCTTCCATAAGCCATTTCCCCTAGGTTTAATATATTCCCCTCTTTAGATTTTCCACTATTTAACTAAGATTGTCTTAATTATTTGCAGTAGGGGACCAGTGTGCAGGAAATGGGAATAGAACATGTGATGGCTATTGTATAATATTAATGGTCCTAATGATTTTTTAGAGAAACAGAGTTGACTATTATGCATTCAAAATAAACAAAGCCTGAAAGAATTTTGCATATGGCAACAAGGATCCTTTTGTTCTCCATGTTCTTGTTACTTATGCAATGTCTAGTTTGGCAGTGTGATGTGGAAGTCTCTGTGCCACATTAGACTTCCATCTGTAGCCATGGAGCTAGTTGCAATAATTCTGAACAAACTTTATTCTAAATATTTCTGAAGCATTTGTTAACGTTATTAAAATTGTAGGTTATTTCTACATACTATAGCACATACATACGTCCCATGTTTCTTGAACTGAAATGCCCTCATCCAAAAAGTAGAGAATTGTGAATAGTGCCTAGTCAAGTGAAAGCTTTAAAAATATCAGTTTCTAAGATACCACAACAAATGAGTGAAGAATGATCTTGTAAATGGAATGGGGTCAGGGGGAGTAGTTTGCAGATTGAACTGTGCACATGCTGAAAACATAGCGCATGTTAATTTTTGTTTTTGTTTTATTTTTGGCATCCTCTTCAATTTCCCCCATCCATAGCACAGAAATCTTAATTTTAAGTTAACTAAGAAAATCACTGGGAGAATAAGATTTTCTAACTATGGAAAATGGTTGTGCAAAATCACTACAAGAACATGACTTCTGTTTTTACTTGCAAGATTATTATGTAGTAGCAGCACTAAAATTTTGCATGGGTCATGGAAAGCCCAATTGTAGTTTCACAATGCAATAGAATGGTGCTTGAGCTTATTCATGTAAGCACATCAGGAACTGCAGTATGCTGAGTCAAATCAGAGATGGATTTAATCAAAGGAGGATAGTCTTGTTCTGAGATCTTTAAATACACTTCTGAGATTTTTAAAAAAATGTCTATACCAAGTGGGATTGGCAGTCCAAAGTCTCGTGAAGATGTTCCCATGAGCTCTTCTGTCAGATGTTGTTATATTGGAAATGCCTGGGGCTGAACTTTGGATCTTCTGAATGTAGCTGATTGCATTGCCTCGCCCCAATGAGTAGCTTTTTTTAAAGTCACCCAACCACAAGAATTTAACTCTCATACAGAAACACGGATTTTCTTTGTGTCTGCTGAAAAAAAACTACTCGGAAAGACAATATACAACAATGCCTCATTCATGATTCCGTGATATGACAACTGTATTGCACATAGAATGATGATCACTTTCCATGCATCCTAAGTCTGTAAATGAGGCACAGGGCCAGGATCACAGTCAGATTTTTGCTAGATTTGGCCATTTCTGTTTTAGGATAGCAACTAATTTTAATTCTGTGTAGCATTAGGCAGATAAGGGAGATGGCAGTCTGGTAGACTCAGATATCCTACAAATACAGGATTAGACCTGAGTATTATGAATTTCAGTAATAGAATCACATGGTTATTTGCAATTTTGTCTTGCATTAATACCTATTTTCAACTTACCTTTCTTCCCCTTTTTTCTTTCTAGATGTTTGCACTTGGTGAATTGGATAATGCTGAGGTCTTGCATTTCTTTTGTTTTATTTAAAAAATCTTCCATGGTGGTACTCTTGTGGTGTAGCCTTGTAGTCTGCTGTGTTGTCTTGCTTATGTGTTAGCATTGTGATGTGTGTACTTGTGATAGTGAAGTAGTAGAGTGTAACTTGCCATGTGTCTTCATTGAAAAAATATTATTTAAATATTGTCTTCCAAGAGTTTTATTTTTGGATGCAAAAAGAATGCTGAAAGGATAACTCTCCTTTGCATTATTGATAGTGGGAAGAGTTTCGCCGGACAAAACCCACAGATTACGTAACAGTTGTGTGCATATATTTAGGAGCAAGTAATGAAATTGCAAGGTTGGGAGCAATCAACTGTTTCATCCCATGCTTGCCACTTTATATAAAAAGCAAAATTGACAGCTGCATGCTGGATCAAAACAGCTATATTAGGCTACTGCAAAGACTTGAGGGTGCCTTCTATGGTTTGAAGCCACTCTCATATCTCAAAATTCCTTAAAGTCCTCTTAGAAGTAATTTGCAATGTGACATGGGAGGCTGCTGTTTAAGAACACCCAACATAAGCCATGCTTAGGCAGGCAGAAGTTATGAGTTGGCTACAGTGCACAGCAGGCTGTGTTTGTGAGTATCCCATTTGCTGCTGTCAGTTGTACTTTTGGCTGGATCCTAGCAATAACTATCACTACCAGGCACAAGACTCCTAGAACAATGCAGGCTAATAAATACTTATTTAGTTATTACCATTTTGATTTAAGTCTCCCAAATTGGTTTCTAAACAGCATAAGCCTTTCAGTGAGTCAGTGGGTAAATGGCTAGCGGACCCACACATCTTTCTAATTCTTCAAATCTTGTAGAAGACTTGGAATCTTTTGACTCGGCAGTTAATTATAACGAATGATCTAGAAATCCTATGGTTGTATTTCTTAAAATGAAAGGAGGTAGTGCATTCTAAAGTTTGGAATGGCGAGTTAACCTCTTGGTAACTGAATTGGGAAACAAAATTAAGCATTGATTTGTTTTATTATTGTGGGTTAATGAATCTTGAATGAGAAAGTAGTTTCAAAGATGTAATCTAGAAAGCTGAAGTAGCAATTCTTTGCACATTGTACTTCTATAGAACATTGGATCTTACTCTGAGTAGGCATGGATAAAAATGAGCTGTGCATGGGATAATAAGAAATATAAACTCTGAGTAAATAAAGCTATCCATGGAGAGCTCATCTCATTTTTGAAGGAAACAAGCTCCTTTATTTCTAAGAACGGTTGGCAGCTTGCACTGTAGAAAGTACCATTACCCTACTAGCTCTGAGAAAATGAGTGTTTGGAAGAGTTCTATCTCATTGCTTGATGACTTACTTGATATTCAAGGCAACTTAAACATAGTTTTTGTGTACACCCCTCTTCCCTATGCAGTCCAGAAGCACCAAGACAGCTACCTGATGGCTGGCTCCAGAGCATACTTTCTTTGTTGGAGCTGACTGTTCTTTTTGGCAGGGAGCGGTGCAGCTAGTTGCTTGCGGGCTCTCTATCTCTGGCCAGGGGTCCCTGGCTGCAGGGGGTAAACTGGTCTTCTGTTCTGTTGCCAAAAGTTCATAGCATTCAAAGTTCATAACCGCTATTTAAATGTCATCAGGTACTGGTCTAGTGCCAACCTCGCTGGTAGGGAATCTATGACCTAGATGCTCGAAGTAGCACGTTCACTGATATTTAGGTATTTTGTATTGATGCATGCGTATTTTTAACTAATTATGATGAATGCTTGCCTACAATGCATCATTGGAAATATGCTGCCATTTGCTATTTCCTAGGTGCTGCACAGTAATTTTTCAGCTTCATCCTAGATCCTGTTGGCTTCATTATGTAGAAAGGCTTCCTTCCCTGTATTGTTCTGTACAAAGCACTTGTGAGAAATTCAGGTGAAATCTGGGCTATTTATTTTTACTTTGTTTTCCAATTTACAAAAAAAACCCCTTTCCATTCTCCCATCCAACTGTCTGATTGTTGGAGCCTGCTGTGTTTTGCAGTAAATCAAGCAGAATGATGAGGCTCAATTTAGAACCTGCTCTTGATTACAAGTAAGCTGTTAGTTGGCTGCCTTAAGAGGATGGATTCCATGCTTGGGGCAGGTGTGTTTATAAATATAGGAAATGAGCACTATCTGTTTGTAAAAAACATGTTCTGCAATTTGTTTTCTCTGAAACTTTGCTAAGGAAGACACAATATTTTCCTTTGAAGAATTTGTACCAGTAAATGGAAAACATTGAATAAAAGAAACAAAGCTCCTTGGTTAGCTTCCATTCATCAACAATAGCCCAAATGGTTCTCGTCTCCTAAACACCTAATTATTTTCTCATCATCACCACCTTACAGCACATTTCCACATAATTTGTCCTCTCCACACTTCCACCATTCACACAGAATTCTACTGAAATTATTGTGAAAGGATATACATCTATGTTTGTGCACATGTATTTTTTTAACTGCATGATTGAAAACAGCCCAAAGTCATCGTATTTGGCTGAGATGTGATAGCAGAGAACTATCGAAGGATATCAGAGGACAAACAGCAACAAGACAAAAGAAGATGATACATGAAGAGGTACACCAGAAACATTAATGGATACATATTGTTCGATTCCTTCAATACAGTTGGCATAGAGTAGGAAGAACCTCATACATGTATTCTAGAAGGGTAGATGTTTCAGTCTGCTGTATTAAACAGGACTGAGGTAGCAAATAGCCTAATACATTTATATCCTCATTTTGTCCATTTTTACTCAGAAGTAAATTCTGTTACGGTTTTTATTGCCAAGTAGTTGTTCACATTGCTGTCTCAGTAGCTGTGCTGCCCATGCACAAGGAATCGCAACTGAATATGTTGATTACACATAACCAATATTTGAGTGAAAGTATTGGCAAAAGGCATTGTCTAGGTCAACATCTCAGGCTGACATGGAAGGATAATAGTTTGATACACTAAGCCAGGGGTTCCCTGCCTCTTTGAAGCAGAAGTGCATTAGGGATTTGAAAAATTGCTGTGGGCACCACCATAAAATCCCAGAGAGGATGTGACTAGTCAAATAATGGTTGCCATGGTGGCCTGGCTAATCAAAAGTGAACTACATTGGTACTGGTGGAGGAGATAGACACTGGCAGGGAAGTGCAGGAAAGCAAAGGGCAAGCCTAGAGCAAGTTCAGGGACTGGGAGCTAAACAGGAAGAAGTTGGGAGGATTAAAATAGCAAGATTTAAAGAAGGGGAAGGGAACATAGGTAAGAGGATAGCAGGACGGCAACAGAGGCTAGAGATGGGGAAGGCAGAGAAGCAGTAAAGCAAGAGGCTGAAAAGAGCAAAATTAGTGACTAGGTGTGCACATCAGGACAAGCAGTGTTTTTTTTTTTTTTTTAAGCTATTGTAGGCTTGTCATGTTGTCTGGACCCAGATTGACTAGGCGTTGGATTGACTAGTAAGTGTTAAAGAGATGGAGATAAATTCAGGAGGGGGAAGAGGGAGAACCTACCTGAAAATCGTGGCAGGGCTGATCAGGAAGAGACAGCTGAAGTAGATAGGAATGGCAGGGATTTTGCTCACAGTCTTCTGGGATGTGTGGCAAGAGCAGGAGGGGGCAGAAAATGATGGAACCAGCTGGGGCTTGTGGTTGTCTGTCAGGGAAGGCATTGTTCATTATCCCAGATGTGGCAATCTCTCACCCTTGCTTTGAGATGATGTGCTAGCCTGCTCAGTGTGTCTAGAGGCTACAGTGGAAATTGATGAAAGAGGAAATGTCTGTGCAGCCACAAAGGTTGTACAGGCCACAAAGCAACACTTTCCTTCTCTGCCTACCTGGCCATTTTTCAAAGTTTTTTATTAAGGTTTTTAAGAAGGCAGAAAGTTGCATGGCTTCCATTCAGATTGGGAACCCATGCATTAAGCTCAGGTTTTTAAAGCATGATTTATCCCCATTATATTAAAGCTGATATCAGAAAAAATGTCTGAAAATTGCAAGATAAAATGTATTGAACAGACATTTTTTGTTTTGTCTCCATTTTCTCTATTTGAGGAAGTACTTTTTCTAAACCTTTCTAACCGTCAAATTGGCATGTTTAAATTGAAGGGAGAAAAAATAAAAATGGCTAAAAATCAGTCTGATGAGGAAATTCATTCATTCATTCCATTTATATCCTACCTTTACCCCCAAAGGGCTCAAGGCAGCTTACATCATCTCTCCTTCTCCATCTTATCCCCACAACAACCCTGTGAGGTAGGCTGGACTGAGAGTCTGTGACTGGCCCAAAGTCACCCAGTTGGCTCCATGGTTGAGCGGGGACTAGAACCCAGATCGTCTGAGTTCCAGGCCCATGCTCTTAATCACTACACCACACTGGCTCTCAGTGTGAAATCTTGTTGTGGAGTGTCCTGGAACATAGTCATGTAGAATAGAATACAAAGAGTTGTAGGACTTTTTTCTGTCTAAATATGCATAGGATAGCACCCTAGCATACCTATATTTGGGGCTGAATTTACATAATAATAGATTAAGTAGATGATATTACTTCCTACACCAATTCAGGTTTTGCTTAAAGAGCTTATGTGACCAGCCTTCTTTGCTGCTAAGAATATTTAGGACTAGTATAGATTTTAATTTTGTGTGTCTTACAAACCTGCAGAATTATTCCTCGCTCTTAAAGTGATCCTTGTTTGTTCAGTAAGAATTAGAAAAAAATAATCCTGATTGAATTAAAAATATTTTAAGGAGTAATTGAAAGTGTGAATGGCCTGGATAACGAAGTTATAAAACAGAAGAATGAAACAGAACCCTGAATATAGTGTCCTAAAAATATTTTTCTTAAACAATTAAACTTTGCCTGAAGGGGGCACCATGGTGATGCTGAATGGAAATGAATGGTGTCCTACTTACCTCCCCCCCCCCCTCCCTCCTACACTGCAGTGAACTGCTCTGTTGGGCACCTGCCAACGTTCAAGCAGCAGTTACATAAGAGGCA